AAATTAATTTAACTTATATATATATGAAAAATAATCAAAACATAATAATATAACAAGATAATTAAAACTCAAACTGATTAAAACAAAATACAAAAACTTGCATAAAAATTTACAAGAAACGAAACATAAAACAAAATTAATAAATATATGTTTTAGAACGTTATTGAAACAAACTAAAAATAGTTAAGAAACAATAAAAAAGTAATAATAATACAAGAGGACCTCAAACCAACTTGTCTTTCCTTTTTATTTCTGGATAAACGGTTCTTTTTCATTCTTTTGATTCAAAGTAGCTTTAGCTTGTTTCCAAGTCCAAGTGCTAGTTGTGGAAGCTAGTTGTCAAAACAACCAATTTCTTTTCTAAATACTTGGATTAACATGTAATTGGACATGCGCATTTTTCCTACAACAGATGTTCTTATAAGAATCCAACAGAAACCCAATAAGAGCCTCCATTCGGACGCTCTTTATTCCGGAGCAATTAAATGTATTCATACGTGTAAAATCTGTGTCTTCACAATTGTCAGTTTCTTTATCCAAATTAGGTAGGAACCAGGGCCCCAAGGCAGCCATGGCATGACTTGCATTGCAAGATTGATGGTCCTGCTGCATATGATGTCCTTCTAAACTTCGAGCAACGATGGAGAAAAGCTACAAGATGGCGAGAATTCGCATTAATCGCCAAAAGAATGGCTCACTATCAAGACGATGCATTGTTAAAGATCGACAGAATCTCATGGATTGATAGTCCTACCAATCCTACTCCAATAACTGGAGATCACACCGTCGTTCCTGAAGATGATCCATTAATACACGTGACCACGGAAGACGATCCTGATAACTGGCATGTCCAGGTTACAAATAACTCTCGTAGAACAAAAAAGAGCCTTTTATGGCCTGCATAAACCTCACGTGGTTCTCTTACTCTGCAGATCTTCCGGTCTATTGATTCTGGATCTTTGAAAGGATTCCCCAAAACTGTGGATGTTGCAGAGGCACAGGTTAATAATTCAAGCTTTTAGGACAAAATAAGGATTTCAATGTTTGACAGGATTTTTATATGGAACAGACAGGAACGAAGTAGAACAATCATGTTTTACTCTCATTCCATGGAACAAGGTGGAAAAGACCTATATTTTACCAACATAACTTCAAAATAAAATCTAATTATCTTCTAAAACATCAAATATGTCTCCCTCTTTATATTTTATTATATATATATATATATATATATTATTTATTGTATTTTTTACTCTTTAAACTTTCATTTTACGATCGTCAAATATTATTTTTACACGGTTTTATATTTTGATTAATTTATGTATAAGATATAAAATAAAATTCAAAATTACATTAACTTTTTATTTTTTGTGTTATTTCAATCCTCTTGATGAAAACTTTTTGATGATATATTTTGTTATAAAAAAGTTTATTTTATTATAATTTAATAAATTACATAAATTAATCAAAATATATAAACAACTCATTAAAGGTAAATTAGTAATTTTATTTGTTCTGTCCTGTCCAATTTTATCTTACGTTGAACATTGTTATATCATGTCTTTTCTGGATATTGAACGCAACCTAATTGTCTATATATATGACATATGCTTTGTTGACATTTTGTTTCCTGCAGAATCTTATTACTGCGAAAAGTATGGTTATAGACAAAAGTATTCAAACAGCATATATCCAAGCAATCCGATCAGCTCAACATTTCATCTATATCGAAAACCAATATTTCATCGGATCATCGTATGCATGGTCATATGAAAACGCGGGTACTTTCTTGGCAGTGTGCTATGTTTTGATTACTTTAATGGAAGTGTATGTGAGAGATTATTTTCTTCTGAAATTTGAAGTGTTGCATCTTTTTTACTTCAGTCCATCTCTTCTAATCCCCTCAATGTAGAGCAGTTAATTTCATATCTTCTAATGTGCATTTGGTAACATGTTTTTGAGGCTAGTGCATGCTATCTTGCCAACTTTTAGGAGCTGATAACCTAATCCCAATGGAGTTGGCTCAAAAAATAGCAAGTAAGATCAGGAGCAAGGAGAGATTTGCAGTTTATGTTGTCATACCAATGTGGCCGGAGGGCATCCCGACTTCTGCTACCGTGCAAGAGATTCTCTATTGGCAGGTATCTTTTTGACTTTTACACGTTCTTAAATTCGTTCCATATCATTTCGATAATATATCTCTTGTTTTCTGAGGTAGTAACAAACTTTATGAGTAGGCCAAATGGCAAAAAAAGAGAGTATGAAATGGTTCAATCTGAAGCAAATAGAAGTGAGAAACCAAACCAATGACCCCAGTATATCCCGCTCTAGAGCAGGGTCTGTAGCGTGGGATGTACGCAAACCTTACATCTACTCCAGAGGATAGACTATAGAGACACTGTTTTTGTGAAGAGCCCCAGGTTATGCAAAAGTATTAAAATGAGATGATGGATATATCTGACTTCCAAATGTTCTAATCTTTAGAGCCAGACGATGCAAATGATGTATAATGTTGTTGCCCAAGCAATCAAGTCCATGCAGCTAGATGCACACCCTCAAGACTATCTAAATTTCTACTGTCTTGGCAAACGGGAAGAGGTACCTTTTAGAATGAATCCATCATCTGCAGATGATAAGGTATTTTCGACCTTTCTACAAGAAATGTACCCATGGTAGTTTCCTAAATGTACACCCGTCTACAAGTTCACTGAAAATTGATATTGGGTTGGTTTTATAGGTCTCAGATTCACAAAAGTTCAAGAGGTTCATGATCTATGTCCATGCTAAAGGAATGATCGTGGATGATGAGTATGTAATCATTGGATCTGCTAACATTAACCAAAGATCTTTGGCTGGTTCAAAGGACACAGAAATAGCCATGGGTTCATATCAACCCCATCACACTTGGGCTGCAAAGAAGCGACATCCATATGGACAGGTTTGACAACTCCATTAGTTTTCTAAGATACTTAAAATGATTGCCAAAAAGTTTAAGTGTCACATTGGATCACAACAATTGAGACAGTTTTTGTTGTTCATAAGTTGTAGATTTCACAAACACACTCTAACAAAGAAGGAAGTCGTAAATCTAAGGATGGCTGTTGGAGTCCCACGTTGACTTGAGGGCTGTTTGGTTGGTTTCCCATTAAGTTCTGTATGGATAAATTGTCCATGTGGATTAATCTATTTGTATAGATTAGGAAAGTTTTTTGCCTGGGAGGGTTTTTCCATAGATGGAATAAACATGTTTTTGAATTGGGAATGACAACTTCGAAAAAAAAACATGGCTTTCTGCATAAAGTTTTCCCCTATAAGCTTACTGAATAAGCTACTGTCTATATCATTAAGCCACTACCAACAGTCATGTATGGCTGATCGAATAAGTTGTGAGTCTCATTAAGCTCATTAAGTTGCTAACAAAGAGGAGCTTTGACTTGGTATCAGAACCGGGGTCTAGAACCACCCAAGGACTCGACACATTCTTTCACCTCCGTTTGAGTGGGCATGTTGGAGTACTACATCGACTAAATACAGACCATCAAAACTTGTATATAAGCAGGTGCCAGAGTCCTACATTGGCTCGATTTAGACACTTTCTCTACAATATATGTTGAAACCCCCTCTATTCTTCAAGGGCTCTTTTGGAGAGCAATACAGGGGTTTCCCATATTCTCACACGGCATCCGAGCCAAGTCTATCATCTATTCATCTGGGACACCTTTGTCCAAGACTCAACACCCTAGGACATCTTTGCGTCTACACTCCGTTGGAGGGCACATGTTAGAGTCCCACATCACCTAGACTTGGACACTTTCTCTTCAATATATGTTTGAATTCCCCCCCCCCCAAATTCTTTCCTGAAGGACTCTTTTGGAGAGTAGTATGGGGGTTCCACATGTTCTCACAGTATAGGAACATTCTATCCCTCCATAAGGGCTCTTTTAGATAGAGAATCAGAGGTTCACGTATTGTAACATTATTGATATCATATGTGTGTTTCTCAGGTCTATGGTTACAGAATGTCGTTATGGGCTGAGCAGCTGGGGCTGAGGACGCTAGAGAAACCCTACAAGGAGCCAGAAACTCTGGAATGTGTTAAAATAGTTAATAAGATAGCAGAAGATAACTGGAAACGATACACAGATGAGAATTTCAGAACATTGCAAGGTCATCTTCTTAGGTACCCATTACAAGTGGATGCAGGTGGGAATGTGAATTTCTTGCCAGGCTATGAGAATTTCCCAGATGTTGGAGGTAAAGTAATGGGAGCCCATTCACCCACTCTACCCGACATTTTAACCACATGATTTCCGACCCATTCATTATATTCACATGTGAATCTTCGCTGTAACAATAAAAAACACGTTAGGTTTATAGGTATAAGGATGTAAGAATACTCGAAAAGGTCATGTGTTCGAGTCATGGAGATTGTGGTACTCCATTTCCCACAACTATTGTAAATTGGAAAGGGTCGCCCCTGTTTGTTCTAAATTTGTGAAGATAAACAGATATGTTGAGTAAATATTTGTGAATGCTTCATTATAAACAGATTATCCGAAAAGGTCGTGTTTGAGCATGGACAGGTACCGAAACCACCAAACTGGCAATATTGAGTGAGGTCAACTAACATAACAACTAAAGAAGACTAAAATCCAAACATAAGTTTCTAACAAGCATCCTGGACATAATGTTATGCAATTGACAATAGGGCTGTGAAGGAAACAATCCGATTCAATTAGAAGCGATCGGCCATAATTATCCAATTGTAATTGGATCGGATTGGATCCAAAATTTCAACATCCATATTGGTTCGTTCGGTTATGCTAGTTCAAAATCCAATAAAGCCAAACCAATCCAAACCGATCATATCCAATTACCAATACAATTATCATTCAACTACCATCTAGTTAATAATTATATATAATTATTAACAATTTATGATATTAATTTTTAGTTTATTTTTTATTTTTTTGAATAACCTGGATATCCAACCCGCTATGCGAGCCGACTAATCTCAGGGCGACCACCAGCTTTGCAGATAGCCCGGAGTCACCGCATTTGAACCTCCGTGGCCACAAGGGGATTTTTATTCCTCCTTGGATTTGAACCTAAGACCTCTAGGTACTTTTGACCTTTGGAGCCAAGCTCAAACCAATCAGACACCACCCTTGTGGTTTTAGTTGAAATTTATACAGTGTTTTTTGAAATCAAGAAACTATATGAATAGTCGGTTGAAATGATGGGTTAATTGGGTGAAAATTGTATCAAAATATTGGATAGATCTAATGGATAACCAATAGTAATATCCAATGGATGGAACCGATCGGATCCAATCATCCATTGGATTGGATGTCCAATGTTAATTGGATCGGAACAAATGACGAAGTCCAACATCGATCGGATGATTGGACCGGATCAGATCAACCTAAATCTATTGGATTTCAACCGATTAACACCCCTAATTTGACATACATAATGGAATGCATCAATTGACAAGAAAAGCATTCCATCAAATCCCTTCTTTCTTATTCCATTGAAGAAGATTCTATCATTCTGTTGATGGTATGTACCTTAATATTCCATTGTCATAAGATTAACGAAACTAAATTAACGACTAAGAGAGATTAGTTAGTCAATAAACTGAACCAAAACTATTACTTGTGAAGTAAACCATATACCATCAATTATTTGGAAACGAAGTACACATAATCTAAGAGAGCGTAGAACTTACACATTCACTAACGTAATCGATTCTTCCAGAACCCGCAAAACTCAGCAAGCCTCGGATCATATGCAATCATCAACTTTCTAGCACCCACTGTCCCGCACGGTCAAGAACAGGGCGATATCACAGTTCAGGGGACATTCAATACAATAATATCCACCGAGAGAATTTATAATGTTCAGAACTGGTCCATGTGCGGGATTACAGACCAACATATGAAGACAACTAAAGTATGATATACAGTTATATCATACATGGTGACAAGTACAGAAGAACCAATATGTAGTTTCTCCATAGATCTGCAAAACAAAGTCCAAAATAGTTGTCTTCAACCACAAGGGTGGTGCCCGATTGGTTTGAGCTTTGGCTCCAAAGGTCAAAAGTACCAGGAGGTACCAGGCTCAAATCCAAGGAGGAATAAAAAATCCCCTTGTGGCCACGGAGGTTCAAATGCAGTGACTCCGGGCTATCTGCAAAGCAGGTCGTCGCCCTGGGATTAGTCGGCTCGCATAGCGGGTTGGATATACAGGCTAATAAAAAATATAGTTGTCTTCTATTCTCTAAATTCTCATACCCTATCTAATCATCTATGTACCTACCAGGTCAACAAAATGACTCCAAGATTTCAGTTTCCAACTTCCTTCACCATCATCAGCCAACATACCTCAAATTTTCATTAAAAAAAAACTCCTTTATACCATCCATATATCAAGATATCAGTGAGATCATAGATCTTAAAGCATGTAACTATCTATCCGCAATGCTTAACAAAACTGAAATGTGTTTAATTATGTTAAAACTAACCTTCTTGCATATATCTTGTCAGCCAACCTTTCTGCTACTTCCACCTTCCCATAAGTCTTGCACGCGGCCAATAACGCGCTCCATAATACCTCATCGGGGGCGGCATCCATCCCTTCGACTATTGCCTCCGCCTCCTCCAATCTCCCTGCCCTCCCCAACATATCAACCATACAGGTGCAATGTTCCAACCCTGGCCTCAACCCAAAATCTTTCATTATCTGTAAGTACTCCTTCCCTTTTTCGACCAACCCGCCATGACTACATGCTGCAAGAACCGCGGTGAAGATCGGTCCATCTGGCTGCAACCCATCAAGGATCATTCTGTCAAACAGTTCAAACACCTCTTTACATCTCCCATACAATGCATACCCACTCATCATAGCCGAACAAGAAACCACATTTCTTTCAGGCATTTGATCAAACACCTTCTGTGCACTACCCAGATCACCACACTTACTATACATTGTAACCAAAGAATTTGAATTAGCAATATCCGAATCAAACCCATTTACGAAAACAAGAACATGGACGTTGCGTCCGAGGTGAAAATCTGGAACACCGGCGCAGGACTTGAGGACGGGCGGCAGTGTATGGCGGTCTAAGGCTTTACCGGCACGAAGCATATCCCGGAAAAGGAGGAGAGAATCGGAGAACCGATTGACGGAAGAGAAGGCTCGGATGAGGGAGTTGTAGAGGAAAGTGGATTGGCGGTTGGTAATGGAGAAGATAATGGATGCTTCGTGGAATTGAGCACAAACCGAATATGATGAGACGAGTTTTGCACGAATGAAATCATGGCGGGAGATTCCTGAGATTATCATTCGACCATGTAGTTTTTTGAGTTTATGCAAATTTCTTGTGGAAGAACATGAGTCGAGAAGTGTGGAGAAGAAAGGTATAATCCCTTGAGGTGTGTGCATGGTTATGGCGGAGCCTCCGGTGACTTAAGGATTCCGATTTCCCGCCGGGATACCAAGACAGAATAAAATCCTCCTATTTACCCTCCCTGAATCCTTTTCACGTTTGTGGAAAACAATACGGCAACAATTGAAGAGCAAATAGCCATATGTTTGGATTGCTTATTTAAAACATATAGTATCAATTTATACGGTATTAAACTCAACTTATAAAATAGATAAAGATACCATTTTCTTTTCTTATCCAAACACTCAAGCTCCTTATTGTCGGTACCACACCGGAATAAGTTAATAAGTTAAAAAAAAGTAACTAATCGTTTATCAAACACTTACCCGGGTAAGTGTTTACCAAGTCAGATTACTTCATCGAATGAATATGATAAGGACCATGAATTTACCCGGTAAGAGCGAGGTAAGAACCATGAGTCTTACCCGGTAAGTGAGGGCGACGACTCTTACCACGGTAAGTGTTTACCGTGTAAATTATTGTATAGTATGTCGTTTTGATGGACTAAAATCTTACCTGTTAAGAAAATAATAGTATTAAATTTTATATGTAAGCACTTACCGGGTAGTGTCTGATAAATAGCCCCTAACTCATTAAAAACCCTATATTACTAGTGCCAAACCGGTATAAGTATTTCATTTCTTTCTCCATTCAAACACTAAAAACTCTTTATTATTTGTACCACACCGAAATAAGTTAATGAACACTTTAAATAAGCAATCTTAAACACCCTCCTAACAAAATAATCAATTTTTTTATGTATTTATTTTATTTAACCACTTATTTCATTAAAATATTTTGTAAAATAAGCTAAATACTTACATAATCTCCATAACATGTCATAGAAATTGAAAAATATTTCCTGTCTTTAGCTAAAATCACATGACAATTTGTGAGGTTTTCGATGAAATACCTGAAAAATGGGACCCACTTATGAGAAAGTGGTACTCATTTTTTTCCGAAAACCCCAACAAATTAATTAAATGCATGTGTTTTTTAGCTAAATGCATGAAATATTTTCCATTTTTTATTACATGTAGACCCTGTGTAAGCATTTAGCTAATTTGACGAAGTGGTAAATATTTGAGAAGTAAAGAAGTGATCCTAGTCCTTTATACGGCCAAAATCAGATTTGACTGGTCACTAATTGCGGTTTTAATTGGTCAATAATTACGGCTTTGACTGGTCAAAGATTGTGGTTATGCAAAAAAATAGAGTAGTTTTGTAACTTTTATAAATATGCGGCAAACAGGTTCATATATGAACTTATGTGATCCATGTATGAACTATTTGTTCATACGTGGATTCATGTAATTAACATATGAACTAATTAACTGATTCATATATGAATCAGTTAAATAATTCACATGTGAACTAATTAACGAGTTTACATATGAACATCATGTGTATCACATGGGTTCACATACAAACCCGTTTGCCGTCTATTTATAAAAGTTGCAAACCTACCCCTGCTATCTTCCGCTTATCCATGTTAAGAATTATCCAGTGCTTCACATTTAAAACCATAAATATTGACCAAACGAAGGATTAAGAAAGAGAAAAAATTGTTTCTACAAATTTATTAAAAGTAATACCTTTTGGCAAGCTTTACTCAAAATTGAAGTTCATATAGTCGAAGCATGTATTGGGGAGGCAATTTTTAAGCTCGGTGGGTATACCCATCACTATTTATGTACTGTTTTTCGATCGTTCTAATAAATTTCTAATCAAAAAAGGAACCTCAAGTGTAGGGCTAAATGACTCACACACACACACACACATATAGGCTAGCTTGACTACAACTCGACCAATCTAATGATACTTGAAATTAATGTAACAGTCGAACAAACCTTCAGTCACCCTGAAACGATGACCGGTAGGGTTAGCGATACACAAGTATACAACTACCCCCAAGGATTTACAAGGCTGTAGCTTAAAATAGCAATAAAAGGGCCAAGCAAGAATCCCAACCCATACCCAACAGCAAAAAAAAAAAAAGCCCAGGCCTAGGCCTGGCTTGAAAAGCCTGTTAAGCCCAGAAAAGCCCCGACTGAAAAAGTCTGATTGGGCAATCTTTCAAGTTGCAGCATAAGAATTCAGGCAACAGATCATATTCAAAAGGTACACCAAATGGACAAGTCGTAAACGACACTTGCCCCAAGCCCAGCCACAAGACCTCAAATACTACAAAAAAAAAATTGATGCAGACGTCAACAGTCGGTCACTCTCCGAGATCGCTACTCAACAAGTCGTTAAAAAGGACATTGGCCCCAACGACGGGTCGGATGTGGTATACTGGGCTTGTTTGGTTTCATAAACTAAAGACAAGATCTTGAATTCTTCTCATCTTAAAGTTTTCCTCCATAAATAAAGATCCATATAAAACCAGCAACAAAACTCTTTTAACAAACCATAAGACTGGATGTAACGCAACATATATAGTTCACAAGAGGTTAAACATCAACATCTGCCAAATTCAACATTCGGAAAGGGCAGAAAAAACATCTGCCAAATTCACAGTTAGACCACATATTTTCAATCAGCAGCGGCCTGAGAAAATCCTTACCTAACGACGACCATAGTGCCTTTCAGGACTCCTGTAAGGAGAATATGGAGGAGACCTTGTTCGCTCCCTCCTTGATCTCCCTCCGTAATAAGGTGAGCGCCTAGGAGAGTAATCACGGCCGCCTCTATATGGTGGTGGGGACCTCCTTGGAGGAGAGTAATCACGACCACCTCTATATGGTGGTGGGGACCTCCTTGGAGGAGAGTAATTACGACCACCTCTATATGGTGGCGGTGACCGCCGTGGAGACCTCCGGTATCCATAGTCATCACGTCCAGACCCACCACGATACCTCCCTCTATCACCCCGATAGCCTAAACATGACACCAAATTTCATCAATCCGGCACCAGATGACATATAAACTTTAGCATATAAAGAAGAAAAATAAAGAAAACGTTACCAGTGTCCCGAGTGTTTTTCAGGCCTAGGTAATGACCAGGTGTGGGTGTTCTTGGGCGTTTCCTTCGCGACTGAAATAAACCAGATAAACAACTTCAAGTAAAAGTTCTTTCAACAAGCAAGCGGCTTAATTATATCATATAGCATAAGCATTATCAACATGCATAATTTGAGAGAAGGAAAAAAAAAAGCGATGATCATCAGAAGCTCCGCCCAAACAAAGAACGAAAATGGGAAACTTGACCCAATCTCCATAGAAGAAAGAGCAAAGAAATAAATAGAAAATGCATGTGGCGAGTACCCATGAGCCTCGGGTAAACGATACCAATAAAGCCTGGTTAGATGTTGATAATGACCGTCGATTAGTTGATAGTTGAATAAATTTGCTGTTGATAATGACCGTTGATTAGTTGATAGTTGAATGTATGCCGAGGTGGTATATAGCAATAAGCTTGGTATGTTTAGTTGATCAGATGCATGTGAAATGATGCGGTTTTAGCTGGCCATTGATCAAGCTGTTTAAGAGTTGCATTGATGAAATCATCAACTTTGATTGCTGCCAACATAACTGATGCAATATAGCCAGTAAACCTTGAAGTTAAGAAGAAAGATAGTTTGAAACATCACTTCTTCCCTTGCTGAGTCAAGATAACTTACTCTCTCCACAGTTATCTGGCGATGTTCAAGAACCGACTGATTAAGATGTTTTATGCAGCGATTAGCATCCTCAAGAGTTTCCATAGTGATAAAAGCAAAGCCACGGGAGATGCGTGAACGAGGTTCCACAACCAGAAAACAGTTAGCCACCTAAAAGGGAGAGTAGTCATCATTAATCACTGAAGTATAAAACATGAAGAACATTAATGGCAAAGGAACGATATGCATTCATTTTAGGAATGGGTCATACAGGTTTATAAATGTGGATTTCTATCCAGTAACTCAGAATAGAAATTTGTTTTAGCAAATATAAGATATACACATAAATCCCCTGAATTTAATTTTTAAATGGTCAATCCGCTGAAAGCAACAACTTTCTTACACTTTGCACGTAATAGAAAGTTATATATGAATCATGAAACCAGGGTGAGTTGATTTGGTCTGTGCAGAGTAGGCAGGTACAACACCATAGACAGCAAGGAGATGAAGCAAATAAGGCTTTGGGAAGAATATTCAACATCAGCAGGGAATATTCAGATATTTAAGGGTTATGTATCAATATGCCATAGGCCTCTATAGTTGCAATATATTTTTCATTTTACCTTCTATGATGGCGAAGGTTATTAGATATTTGTAGCTTACCCTATTTTTGAAGTATATAATATTTATACACGGGAAATACTCACACACGCCTAACCTTCAGTGAGGTTTGAAGTTTGAACCCATGACCTCCTGGACGGTTGGGCTCTACCGTCAATAGCCCTTGGGTAGCTTACCCTATAGTTTATGGAAGGAGCTTTAGGATAACATTGAAGACAATTTTGACAAACAATTAGTAGTATGTTTACTGTCTTACGAAACAATTCTTTTTAATTTAAAGATTAAAATATGACAGCGGACACCAAAAGAATTAGGCTCTCTCTTCCAACAGCTTTTGTTCTCAACCCCAACAAGCATGCATGCATTCTGAATGATCCCAAACTGGTACCCTAATAGGCTGAGGAAAAAGCAACAATACCAAGAGTTGGACTCTGCCCTACAACAGCCAATGATCATGGAGATGATATGTGCCTTTACCATAGTAGCATAGCAAATTTTACATATGGTAAATCTGTGTTACAAAGATGGACGTCAAAAAATTAAAACGAATACCCAACTTCCGATGCCCCACCAATCTGGGCAAGTGGTGAGGGAAGCTAAATTAGGTTGCTCCACATAAACATACAGCAGCATAATGATACATTTGGAATTCCGGATGCCTTACTTCCACTTAGCAGAATAGCCAGTTAGGTAGGTCTCATGGTGTGCTCTTACTTCTTGGATACAGTCCACCAGGCAATTTGGTATATCAATAATGTAGAGCAAGCCCTAATTAAGATAAATATAGGCCTCTACCATGAAGTTAGATTAGAGCTACGATTTCATACCGTACATCAGCTACCCGAAATTTATCCTTTTCTACCACCAGAAGAATCAGGTTCATTAACTAAACTAACCTTTCCCTCTTTTGAAAAATGTTCTTCAAGCTGGTCCTGTGTAACACGTGTAGATAGACCAGTGACGTAAAGTGTATTTCCAGGATTTATTGCCTCTTCCCTGCCAAGGTTAAAAACAGACATTGGCAAATAAACAAACATACATCATCATAGTGAAGCAAATTCTCAATAAGAAAAAGACAAGGAATTCTAAGGCAAATCAAAAACAATACCTGCCACGACTTCTTGATCTTGATCTCGATACAGGCCTGCCTCTTGACCTTGACCAGGATCTTGATCTAGATCGAGACCTGGACCTGGACCTGGACCTGGATGGTGCTTCATACAGAGGGGAGCGTGAATACCTGAATACATTAAAAGCATATAAGGTAGAAATAAACACCCACTGAGAAAATGCTGTTTACATTCAGTAATTTGCATCACATGAGCATGATAATTCACGAAGCCACAGCTCTTTAATTTACTTGGTACTCTCTTTTCCTTATTTCCAAACTGTCGTGAACTCTTTGCATGAATACATAATTATATGAATATGTTATCTAGCAGATTCTAACAATAGAAAGACACCTGCACCCCAACATCAACTACTTAAAGCAAGCAATAAAAATGTAGGGAAAACATGTGAGCCCGGACCCCGACATTGATCACCTACCATAAATATCCAAGAAGAACAATATACTCATTTCTACAACTTTGCACCCTAAGATCTTATAGGCAGTGTAACTTACATCAACTGCACATTCGATTGATCTACAGCAAGCATTTTATAACCAAGAAAACACATGCACTGTTTGTTTAGTTGATACAGTACTGATCACTGATAATCGGCCACACCTATTTGTGTTAGAGAAGGCTTAAAGAATAATGCCTCATCTTCACAAGAAGAGGTTTCTTCTATGTTTTTATGAAAGAACCATTTCAAACATTAGGCTATAGACTATAGGCTATGAGGTGACATAATGCATATACCTTAACATCCCATACATCTACTAATTTCATCATGTTTGGGAGACCATTTGAATCTGGGTTTCTTTTCCCTTCTTCATAATGTATGTGTCTAACAAGAATTAGAGAAACGAGGGAACTGTATGGGGTAGGAGCATGAAAAGTTATATTTTCTTTTGATCTAATCATTGTTCTAAAATAGAATCTAAGTGTGAATACATACCCAATCCCTTCAGAGACTAAGGGCCCATTTGCTTAGTCTAATTCTATTACATTTAATTTCCCATTTTCACTCTGTCCAATTTCTATGATACAAGTTTAATGGAGTTCAGACGCATGAAATGTAGGCGATAAATGGAATAAAAAGTAAAGAATAAAGGCCGAGGTTCTCGGACACGGTTTGGCTATTGAAATGTTAAAACATAAATCACATGAGATGCAATGATGCATTAGCATTACCCTATTCAGTGATATATCAGATGCAAGTGATGATTTAATGGCTCTACAATTGGCAGTCTTCATACAAAAATTATAACTTAATCAAATACATATTTCAAGATGAGACCCAGTTAACCCCTGTTCTGAATGCAAATCTACATCCTGACTTGCAAGAAGGGCTAGCTTACATAAATTTGACATAAATGCCTGTCTAAATCATGAGTAAGGGATGAAACAATGGATCCTGGTCCTAACCATTGGCTTATACAAGGGGGTTTGGGAGTTAAGAAAATAAATAGATTCAATAAATGGGATTGCATCATCTGCTCATGAATCACATTGCAGTCTGATTCTAATCATTGAAATTGCACTTTTAACAACCTTGCCACGTTCACTGCAACAGTGACACGAATTACTGTAGCCATGCCCATGAACATACATGGGTAATTAGACCCAGCTAACACAAAGAATGACTGTCAAAAGTTATCTTTAATAAAAAAAACACAGGTTCATTCTAATAATCTAAAACAAAATCGTGTTTCAAATACATTGGAATGCTTAATTCATGCGCCAAATACTAACAAAACAAAGGCATATAAATTGCAGAAAAGGCTAATTGCATTCAGTAAATTTATTTTGCAGTTTACAGGCATCATATCCTGGTCTCGCAGACCATGGTTACAAGGAAACTGGGAACTTACATGTAATCCCGTAGTTGACATGTCAAGGGTTCAAACTCTCGTCAAGTTGTTTAAAACATCTATCCATAAAATCACTTAGTGTGTGTGGAATCTCAAACATTTGCATCAAAACTCATTAAAGAAAATGTAGCAACCCCCCTTAACGACAAATACAACTTCGATAACATGCTGCTCAAATTTCAGTATCTGGTTCTCTTTCTAATACAATCATTCCCATTTCCCAACAAGAACATGTATCTTCCCTTCATATACTCAACAATGTCTTATTTTTAACAAGAAACAACTTCACCTCACAAAACCCTTTCCTTCATCAAACTACATAATAAAAACAATAATCAAAAGCAAAGACTAACAAATAGAAAACCCTAGGAAGCAGAACGCACACCAATAAGCAATAATCGAAGAAAAATGAAACAAGACCAAGTTTTGGGATCTTAGAGTTTACCTTCTTCGAGGCGAGTCAGCCTGCATATAATAGAGTTCAACGCATTAAAATGTGGGATATAAGCATATGAATGTATACATTTACATACATAAAATGTTAGCAAAACCCACAGATAGAGAAAGCACTCACCATTTCGTTGCAGACAAGAACCCTAGATCGCGAAATTTGATTTTAGCTTCTTCGAGGGTTGTTGCATCAAGACAACTTTCGACGCTATTTAGAAAAAGTTGACTGAAAAAGGGACAGACGCTTACTTATTTTACAAAAACGTCCAGTAACTTTAGTTAATTCAAAATAAGACCCCTCATCTTATATGACTTCACAATAAAACCCTTTCTAATATATTTCTTTTACTTGATAGTTTGTATACATTTTGTAGGGCAATAATAATGAGACATCAAGTTCAAACTTTGTGTGTTTTCAAGAGGAATTGTTTATGTGTATGAAGTGTATAATTTACTGATTAGCTTCTAATGACAAATTGCATGAAAATTAACGTGTTTTAACTTGATTCATATTTTTGATAATGTACTTTTATACCTAAGATGTAAAATTTTAAACATTTAAATACCCGGATAACCGGTTAAAGCATTAACCGCTTATCATGTTGATGTGCCGAATAATATGGTATTCAACTCAATATTATTTGCTGACGTGATTAGTGAGATGTTTTTTTTTAATCTAAAATTAGTTTTTTTTTTAATCTAACTTACAGAGTGACGTTAATATAAATTCATAAATTAAGTCATTGGTATTTTTTGGTGTTTTAAAATGAGTTGAAAATGTTTTCTATTTTGGAGAATAATCTCTCAACATAATTGTATTTCAATGAACATCAAACCCATAAAAGAGATATATAACTACTGAATAATGACTTAATCTACACTTCAGCCTTTAAGGGTCTGTTTGTTTTTTTCAAAATTACCTCTTAATATATGTGAAGTTTGCTTCGTTCAGATGTTTGGGTATTAAGAGTGTTTATTTATTTTTATTTTTTTATTAACCTGAATATCCAACCCGCTATGCGAGTCGACTAATCCCAGGGCGACCACCTGCTTTGCAGATAGCCCGGAGTCACCGCATTTGAACCTCCGTGGCCACACGAAGATTTTTATTCTTCAGTGGATTTGAACATGAGACCTTATGGTACTTTTGATATTTGGAGCCAAACTCAAACCAATCAGGCACCATGAATAAGGCACAAGTAAACACTCTACTTTGGTTGTGCCAATAAGCTATTTCACTCATTAAGCTTATTAAGGGGATGTTCGGTTCGTTTTTTGTTAAGACCTGTATGGATATAGTTGTCTGTATTGATATAGTTGTCTGTATATTAACAGATAAGTTATTGTTCGGTTGTTGTGCTGAATAAACAGTCTGTATGTTGGAAATGACCATTTTACCCCCAGTATTTATTTTTGTTTAAATAAAACAACAGTTTTGATGAAAATGTGGATGGATACATGTATAACTATTCATAATGAATTTCCAACTGTTTTTTTTTTTCCTTTATGCTCTCAACTATTCAAAATTGAAACCAAAGAGTCAAAAAAATAATCTAATTCTTACAGTTCCAACCAAGATGAATGAACAGGTTTCTACTCCAATTGAAAACCCCGAACAACACCCTCCTCTTTCTTTCTTATCCCTCCCTTCACCATCCACCCACACCTATACAAAGCACATACACAAACCCACACCCACAGCCTTCGTCTTCTTAAAAAACCCACAATACACACTCATATATGCACACCTGACATAAATACACGGACACACATATAAAACTCATCGGAGCAATGGCGAGGCATGCGGGTAAAGCAAAGCACGATGAAGAACAATCGAGTACTTGTGTGAGAAGAACGACATACCTTTGTGAGTGATGGATTCAACAGTTTGTGGAGAACGATGGGGGGAAGAACAATGAAATGTTTATCTTGTATTGACTATGATTATCTGCAGTTAGTTGCACGAATTCAAACATGAAGCTTTAATAAATTATATTTACGTATAATTTGTTTGTAACATTGAATTTAAAGTAATATGCATAAATAAACAGTACTTCATGTATAAAAAATAGTTTTCAAGAGTTTTTGTCAAATGCTTTATAATATAGTATATATTACTAAAGGATACCTGCGCAATGTAGCGAGATATATTTCGATTTTACTATTTCGTTTTATTCCGTTTATGTGGATTTACAATACGGTTTTTATGTGTTTTTAAAAAATAAATATTTTTTATTTTTGAATAAAATATAAACTCGAAGATATCATAAAATTTCAAAAATAAATATATAAACATATCAATATTAGTATCAAACTAACTATTTTAAAGTTTTTGTTTTTTGTGTAATTTTTTTTAATTCAATCTTTTTATTATAATTTAACTTATTTTTGATTTTATAATATATTTTTTATAAGAATAATAATTAAGTATTTTGTTAGAAGTCAATGATTATCCTAATTATATTTTAGATCTTTTATATTTTAAATGAAATGCTTATCTTGTATTTGTCACACCCCGCTAAAGCGGAAACGCGAGATGCAACAGACAAGCGTGTCACAGCGACAATTAATAGATAACAACTTTAAGTTTTACATAATAAAACAAGTTAAATTTTACAACCAAAATTTTATAAAATTCTTCATTTGCAAAATTTTCGGTTCGAACTAAATCAACTTTGTCACGAGTATGCTCCCAAGTGAAACAAATCTTACTTACGACCTGAAAAACATGGAACATAAAACGAGTCAACTACAAAGAGTTGGTGAGCTCACGGGTTTCCATATGCATAAAACATTTCAATGCATAAACCAAATATTTGCAAACTTATGCGAATTCTTTGCACTTAATAAATGTAAATCTTTCACGATGTAAATCTCGAGACGCTACTGAGCCTTACCTGACCAACTTGCCCCATTAATTTACGAACAACCATAGGTAGCCCATACACTACTTAGGTCCCACAGTTCGTAGAAGTACTAATTCAGCGATAGTCCAAATTCCACATGATTAGACAAGAAAACATAGGTAATGTGCACCCCTTTCTGGGTGGGATTGTCAACACAATAGCGGGTATCCACAATACCACGGCCCGGGGATGTACCCGAGTTAACAAGTAGCGTTTACGGACGGGGACTTTTATTTGAAAAAATATACTCCCAAGCACATCAATTTAGCATTTATTCCAAGTGCAATAACAGTTAACAAAACATAACATAGTAAACCCGACTAAGCAGTTCCTTAGTCCAGAGGTTTCAAACAGAACTTGACTAAGCAGTTTCTTAGTCCAATGGTTTCAAACAAATAATCATGCATAGTTTGCTCAATCACATGTTTTTTCCCCAAAACAATAAACAAAGCATTTAAAAGTGGGGCCGTGAGAACTCACAAGTTTGATGATGAATATCCAGAGGTTGACCCTAGAAGCTTTCAATGCTCGCCCGACCTTCTTAAACAGACCAACAACCAGCGGTAAAATCACTTAAGGTTTCTTGTCCAAGCTAAAGCATAGTTACTTTCCATGCAATGCCATCAAGTTTTTTTTAAATTAAAGTTAATATTTTATTATTTTACCTTTTTAAAAAGAACCTTTCAAAATCCTCATTATGATGACATTTTTACATTATCCAAAACAATGATGACAGCCGCCAATTTATAATATCAAGAATTTTTTTAGTGGGCTTGAGTATCTTCGTAAATACCCTACAATCTTGAGTTACACGCCCCCAAAACAGATTGCATGCTCCAAGAATGACAACAAATATGGGGGCTCAAACTCATCATTTTTCAAGAATTTAAACTCTAATTTTTGAGCYATCATCCYCGATCAACTTCCAGAAAATATTTTCCGATTCCATTACATTCTTGAAGATAATAAAACTGATTTTGAAATGCATGCAAGGTTCAACTATGCTTCAAAACATAACGTTTGATGATCCAATTCCGCATGCAGTGGAAATCTCTTCTACTTCCTTAGAGATTAAAGAATATGGATCATTGATTATCATCCTATGAAGACATTTTCATGTCTTTGATGCATAATCTCTCCTCTTTAACTCTCTCGAACTTTCTAAAAGATCGAATRGGGGAAGTAGATGGGTGAAAACGTTTGGAATTCTGTAAAGTGGGTTAACCAGAATCATACMTTYTTCTTAAAGTCTTGATTGTTCTTCAGCGTTTGACAGAAATACCCTGAAGATTTTGCTTAAAGGAAATCGGCTGGAAGGTGGATGATTTTAGAGAGAGAGGGATACGGTTTAACAAGAACAAGAGAGTTGGAAATGAGAGTTTTCAAAAGATGTGGGGTATTTATATAAGGATTTTATTGAGGGAAATGGGCTGGTCTTTAAAGGCCCAACCCAACAAAGCTTTTATTTTTCTTAAGTAAGATTTAAACCCACTTAAATTTTCCCAACATAGATGAAATAACACAAATAGCTCCAAACTCCAACTTTTGATAAAACAAGTGGACATTCAAATGGAACTTTTGCAAAATTTAAATTAAGGAAAACTCAAAACATCAACTTTATTTTTATCTAACGTATTTTCAAAAATATTTGGCATTGCATAAGATAACTTAATCTGATCTTCTACCAAAACACGACCTTCCCAACAAAATTTAAGAGCTAATACCAGAAAGGTTCTAATCACTTAAGACGAGATCCTAGAGAAATATAAATTCTAATATGGGGTCTGCAATAGGATGCTAACCTGAAGCTCAGAAGTGACGGGATGTCACAGTATTTGACTATATTTATCTACAGCTAGCTATATGAATTTAAACATGATACTTTAATAAGTAGTACTTACGTATAATTTATTTGTAATGTTGGATTTTAAGTAGTATGCATAAATAAACAATACTTTATGCGTAAACAATAATTTTTAAAAGTATTTTATAATATAGTATAGATTATCGTGACTTAAATTCATACTGATCAATATTGTAATATTCGATAATCAATATTGTAATATTCGATAAAAATTGGTTATAAACTTATAATTTTATGTTTTTGATGTAATTTTTAAAAAATAGTCTTTTAAAATAAGAATAAAAATAAACCATGTTTTATTTTATTGTATTTCATTTTTAATTAAATAATAACCGAATTTATTTGTGTATACTGTTTGATAAATAATTATTAATTTCTAGTGACGCTGAGATTTTTGTGAAAAAAATGGGAGAAGTCAAAATAGAGTGGAGACTCGTACCGGCCAATTGGGCACCGAACTGGAAGAAGAGTTATGGCGACCTTCTTCAACCTCTCATCGCCTCCTTCTATGGTATTCTCCCATGGAAAGCTTCGTAGCTGTCATCCTCCTTTTTCTTTTGCGTTTCCCTTTGCGACCGAACTCAAGGTACTATTATCTGTCTCTCTCTCTCTCTCTACATTGTAAGTGCTTGGGAGCCTGAACTTCGAGGTTTGGAATGGAATCGACGCTTATTTAGTTCCAAATTTCAAACCCATCTTGCTCAAATTCCAATCCTAGACTTTGGAAGTGGAGTTCCCAAACATATTCTGGTAGTACGTATTTGAGTTTGATCTGATGGAAAGTTTGTCTGATTCGGTTTGAAGAGTGATCGGGGTTGGGGTAATGGGAGATTAGTATCGCTACAGGTGAAGTGCTTGAATGACCCGACTAGAGATGCTACGGAATCCGAACCCACCTCACTGTCTTCTGGTTCTTCCACTTCTACTGGCATTTCGTCATACAGTTGGTGTGCAGGACTCGGAGGGTTAGGGTTTCTTGAAACAGGTTACTTGACTTACTCAAAGCTTACGGGTTCAGATGCATTTTGCCCCATTGGAGGTGGTTCCTGTGGCGATATCCTCAACAGCAATTATGCTGTGGTTTTTGGTACTCTCTTCGTCTATATACCCATATTGTTATTATCTTAATACGTATACAGTTTAGTTTTGAAGACAACCAACTCATTTGACCTTGGAAGTTCATATTCTTTATTTTATGTTTCTACATAAATTTCAAAACGAAATGCATTTTATAACAAATACTTTGAATAGAGAATAGTTAGTCTTAGATTTTTGACAAATTAAACAAAATCGTCATCAGAACTTGAAGTTGACTAGTAGTAGCCTTGAGGTCTAAAGTAAAAATGTTACTTTATGTCAGTTTTCTAAAAATGACAGCGGATCACTTGGTAGAATTGTGTTGGTGGGAAGTAGAAGTATAGCTGCAACTGAAGTGAAAGGGATGGAACTTTTACAAACAAGTTGTTTCTACTTGGAAGATTGGAGTTGGGATTGTCACTGTTATTGTGCTTTAGTCGCATCGAATTGGATGGAAATTAGGACACCTATGACCCGACATGTTACAACTATGTATCATTTGGTAATATTTATGTTTATAGGTTTTATTTGTAAAATGAACGGAGTTGTATTATAGTTTGATGACAAAATGAAAAACTTTTTGACAAAGTTATGGTTTTGAAATTATAAGGTAGAAAGTTTATGGTCAAACATAGAAATTGTACTTTTTGGTTTCGAAGCCTCAACCCATTAAAGTCAATGTGTATATTGTGAACCGTGAAAACCTTGAAAATATGTTGCAATGTATAACTATCGTTTACAAAAAGTTTCGTGAGCTATCTTGGTTCTCTGAAATGTAAATGTTTATCAAAAACCATTTCGTGAGTTATGGTTTACACTTGTTAAAAAATGTAAATGCAAACATAGAGAAATCATTGCCAAACATGTTAAGTAATTTTTCTTGGGTTTATAATCCACGAAAGTTAACTTGAAAATAAAATGTCATTTTGATGAAGCACATGTGCAAGTGTACGACTTTAAAAATCCAATTGCTTCAAGACTTTTTGGAATATTGATTAGAAAAGATGGTGAATTTGAAGTTCACTTCTATAAATTTTATAAGGATTGATAGTTGCCTTCACGTGGTGGTCCTTATTTAGCTCTATTGGATGTAATCTTTCCAATATTGAGGAACTAAAAAAGATAAACCGGGACAAGAAAGTATTTTATGTATGTGTCTGAAAGGTAACTTCCTCTTTCAATCTCATAGCTTTGTCAAATGCTGTTGGGAAGTTTCACTTGTGAATCATACTGCCATTAATGGTTACATATGAGAGGTATCTCAAAATGCGGGCAATAATACTCTATAGGCTCTATATATATAGAAAGGACACGCTTCAAGGTGGTTATAAGCGACCATCATTGCAAGAAAATTTTGGTGCCAGTAACGGAATCTGATATTGTTGGCTTCAAGTATGTGTTATGGCTCATTTTTGTTATGTTATTTTCTTTTTATAACAAATGGTTGTATTAAGACACTAAATGGCAGGTGCATAGATGGTTATCAGCTCAAATTATGGGTGATCTATTTGAAGAGAACCTTGAAAATGATTTTTCTGATTTTGCAGGTATCCCTCTTCCCTTGATTGGAATGGTTGCATATGGCGTTGTGGCTGCCCTTGCACTAAAGTTGGCAGCCAAGGACTTGCCTTCTGGGATTGATGAAAGTAATGGTGGATTAATCTTACTTGGGACAACTACCTCGATGGCAACTGCAAGCGCATACTTTTTGTACATTTTAAGCACACAATTTCCAGGAGCTTCATGTTCTTACTGTTTAGCATCAGTCCTGTTGTCATTCTCTTTGTTCTTCACAACTGCGAAGGTACATTTTCACCTCTAAGCAGATTACATTTTTACAATAAGATATTCTCCACATTGCCTGAGTGGATGGGTGATATTAACGTTAGTTGAGCCAGATATTACTTTGGATAAAGAGTAAATACTATGATGTCACACATGTGCATGGCCTACCCAAGTGAATGAAATGATTTTTTTTTGTTTTATTGTTATGTTTTTTGTTTTGTTGAAATTGTTCATGAAAAAGCTTAATGATCAGGGCTACTAGTGATTTCACATAATTGTTCTTCTCATTGTAGCTCTGAAGATATTTTTATTTGATTATTTCTGCAGATTTTGGGGTGGCAAAAGATCCGAGAAGAACTGGGTTTGCAGTTATGCATATCTGGTTTGGTTTTGGCCGCTTTAAGCAACTCCTATAGTGCTTCCTCCCTCCCCCCTGCACGGTAATTTTATTGCTGATAAAGAACAGTTTCTTACTTTGTTCGCTGATGGCAATAGTGTCTAAATTCTTTTCAGTTCCTATCCTTATTGATCTTCTCTATCTCTCCCCGTTTTTTTCTTCAATCTTTATCTGCAATGATAATTTACAATTTGCCTTGTTCAGTTCTTGGGAAAGGGAAAGTAGGGTTTAAGTTGCACCATTGTCAGTGTTCAGATTGATCTCACACATGACCTATATATATTACAAGTTAAATAATGCGTGCCTCTCTTCTTTTTTGATTCTCAATGGCCAATCGTAGCCTTTCTGACGAGTGAAATTCCGCTGTGCTGATATTACATCTTTATCATGTTATTGTTTTATCGTGAATAATTTATGCATCAGGACCTTTCGTCTGACATAATCTCTACTCTATTCTTTTATTTACCCTTCGTGCTTATGCAGCTTTGGGGATAAGTTCCTCCCATTCTCTCCAACTGAGATCAAGGCACCATCGAGTCCTTTAGCTATTAAACTTGCAGCACACCTGCGTTCTATTGGAGCTAAAATGTATGGAGCTTTTTGGTGTTCACACTGTTTAGAGCAGAAACAGGTACTCCTCAGCCACTTGCTTCTGCATAAGCTGCACTTAAGTCCTTATTGGGTTCAGTCAACAAGTGTTTTCTCTTTTAGGCTGTCAAGAATGGAATTATACTTCACAATTTTATGCTATGCTATGCTACCTTTTTTTGTTCTCTTTTGCTATGCTGTTAATCACACCGCTATAGTGGTCAATCGCGGTTAGCAGTCATGGGACAAATAGCGGTCCCGCGATTAGCGGCACTATTGACCGCTAACTGTACATATCAAGGCTTCATTATTCTTATTTTTTTTTGGATTAGGACGCTATTATTTTCATTTTTTTGAACTTGGACACCATTATTCTATTTATTTTTTTTGGATTTGGAACCATCACTTTGACCTCTTAATTTGAATAAAAGTATTCACATTGTTCAATTATTTTTATTTGGATTTGGACATCATTATTCTTATATATGTTTTATTGAATGCATAAAGTATGTTGAGTTATGTATGCATATATATAATTCTAGCTATTATATGAACCGCTATTTTTGGACCGCTTTACCATTGCCTATAACCGCTATTTCAAAAGAATCACGGTCCTGACCGCGATTTCATATTTTAACATCTGCAACAGCATAGCTCTTTCGTCCCCGAGTCTTGAGAGCTCCTCAAACCTTGTCCTATCGAAGCTGCGCTGATACTCTGGGAAGTGTAAATGGTTTTTGGATCATCCATGTGTCTACATATATGGATTGTGCTCAAGAAATTTGACTTTTAAATCATTTGGAGAATCCCTCAAAGCTGTCAAACTAGAATTCATGGAACCTGTAGATGTGATTTATGCATAACTTGCTCTCATCTGCCCTCTCTTATTTTCGAACATCGTTCATTGATGTTAGACTTCCATCAAATATGAAATTTCTATTTTATATTGCAGACAGTGATGCGTATTCTAGAAAGTCTTTGGTAGTTTCTTTTATCCAATGTATTACTCGTGTTGATTGTTTAAAAATGATTTCTGGTTTCTGGTACATGTGTAGATGTTTGGGCGTGAAGCAGCAAAGTTGTTGGACTATGTTGAATGCTTTCCGGATGGATACAAAACTGGAACTGAACTAGGCAAGGAATGTTCAAAGATTAAAATAGAAGGTTTTCCGATGTGGGTGATCAATGGCAAGGTGAGTATGCTATCATAAACAATGCGTCCATCAGCCCCGTCCCCATAATTAGAACATATACTATACCAGTGCTTAATTTTTTAGTATTTTGACTGTTAATCAAATGTCTAAATACCCTTCACTAGTAACAAATTAGGTGGAATCTTAAAAAAAAAATTCCAAAAATAAGGTTGCCCTTTCTCATGGAACATTCCAAAACATAAATTGTTAGTAACTTAGAAATTAGAATTGGGTGTGATGTAAATATTTTAAGCCTTTTCCTTTGTAATTAGACATTCACACACTCTTTTTTTCTTTTTGAAGTATATAATACATATATATATATATATACGGCAAATGCAACAAATAAAACTCACACGCCCTATTATATATATAGTTTTCATGGTGAGATTCATTGTGAGATTTTGTCCCACATAGGAAAATTAGTAGAATCTTACTTGTATTTATGAGCTATAAATATGTCAGTTTGAGGCGTATCACTTGTCCCACATTGGTAGAGTGATAAATTCTTCCTTAGTTTATAATCTTCAAGTTGTTTAAGAGATCAAGTTAGCGAAGGATGGTTTGGCCTTGTTGTGTGAATTTTACAAATATTATATTAAATGGTCAAAAGATAACACTAGTACGTTGGCGCTTGTGCGAATCCCCAAAATCAGATTTTTATGTTTGGAAACAGTGTCTCTCACACTAGTTTCCACGTGAGTTAAACTCATGGTAGCCTCCGGACTACGTTTTGTCTGACCTATTTATATGTGTAATCATTTCATCATTTGATCTCCCTCTTTAATCCTCTTCTTCTCTTTAATCCAATTCTGCAGTGTGTTCATGGAAGGTAAATTCTATTGTTGAATATATTTTATTCGATTAGGGAATCCTGGAGGTATCATAGCCTATAAGCCAAACAACCTTGTTAGTGGGGACTATAAATACCCTAAGGACGGTGATTTTCACGTCCTAATCATTTGATTTGCTGCACTTATTCTCCTTCTACTATCATATTTTTTTACACGCCCTTCTCACCAATATTAAAAAATTAAATATTCAAATTGTTCTTTTAGTGAAGTTGGAACCTCTGACCTCCAAGAAGGCAAAGGCTGGATACTGCTAGGCCAACATGCCAAGATAAATGCAATATTTGACCCGGCATATTGTGGTCAAATGTTGAAGGCATCCCGCAATAATGATGAACTGAAAAATGTTGGATTGGATTTGGAATTGAATTCCATTCCAAGCCCATGCCTGGTATGAAGGATTTCCTGGATTTGAAATCCCACAAGGGTGGTTGGTATTTAATGGGATTTCATAAGATTTGTATGCGATATTGTTTACATTAATTTTGTAATAATCAATTAATAAATAAATATGTAATATAATTTGTTTTTATTAATTATTTATAAAGAATGAAATTCAATTTCATTCATAATCCTACAAACCAAACACACCGAAGATTCTAAATCCCTACAATTCCGAATCCTTTCATAAAATCGAAATCCCTGAAAATCATTTCATTAAACCACGTGCTTTCTTAGGGACTAAGATCAATGTTCTGAATTTCTGGTTGGTAAAGAGAGAGTTACAGATTGAAACTTGGTAAACCTTGTAACAGTTATTATTGGTTATCCGATAAAGGAAATATTGTGTTTATTTTGTGGACGGAGACTATATTATTCACATGTGAAAAGCTTTGATAAATTCCATCTCTGAAGCATTATTTATTGTTTCCAGGTACTGAAAGGGTATCAAGAGTTCCCAGATCTGGCAAAAGAATCGGGATTCGAAGCCGGTGAATTCAGCCAAGAGTTAGCAGAGCTTGCTAAACAATCAGCTGAGGCCAACAGTCAACCATCATGAATGTAGAACTCCCACATATATTGCATACACAGAATGTTCAAATGGTTTTGTTGTAGTTTCCAATTGCAAAATGTAGGAAATTTATAGAACAAGAAATCGAGATCTGTTATTATATATATATATATATATATATATATATATATATATATATATATATATAGCACCTACGAGTCCTGCTTCTGGGCATTCTATAAAAGCTTTATAAAGCTTTGTTTTAGGTTATCGATGTAGGATAATAAACTTGTAGGCCTTGTTTGTTTTTTATAAGAAAAAACTCTTATTAGCCTCTTATGTCTGATTTGTTAAGAGACAAGGTCATTCGGTCTGTTTGTTTTTTTTTTCAATTTTTTCAGAGGCACTTATGTCTTATTTTCCTTTTATCTAATAAGAGGTAAACCAACTTTTTATTTGCCTCTTAGTGTTCTCCATATCCTCAACAACGGCGTCCTTAATCGATCATTTCTCTCAAGCAATCCTTACCAAATCAATCTCACATTTTTCTATTAATGTATTTTAATAGAATATAAATGTGTTAAACACTGTTAATTACATATATTCATTTAAATGAATGTTAATTATATAATTTAGATGTAAAATTTCAACAATTTTTAATGGATAAAATAGACAATTTAAATAATTGTATGTGTTTGGTTTATTCTTGTATGTATGTCTGGATTATTACATCAAATTTCCTGATTTCAAATGCATACCAAGAATGATTAATTTCTTAAAAATCTAGATTAAAAAAGGCAATTCAAAAAAATTATTTAGATTAAAAAAGTTATTTAATTTTAAAAAAATAAAAAATAATCATTGGAAATAAGAATTGTAGGACTTTACCCAGTGAAGGGAGTCCTTCCAGAAATTCTCGATGGCCAAGGGGAGTACCCAAGGCCAAGGAGGGGGTTTGGAAATAGTTTTCAACCAGCAATTGACGCGCCTCGGTTATTACCTCATTAGCTGCGTCATTGCCCCAAGCGCAAAGATGCCTTCAACACTCCCACTTCCCTTCCTTTTATAGCACCCCACGCCTCCTCCAAACCCATCTCCCCACCGATGTGGGTCTAAAACCGTATATCCGTACCTTCTTTTCCTTTTTCCTATTTTACTCTCCTCCCAAAAAAAAGTCACTTTTAACATTGATTTCGTATTTGACTTTTTCGGTAAAAAATATTTTAAGGGTGTTGTTATTTATGGGAGTGATAATTTCGTATCAAATTAAATCGATCGACATGTTTATCAATTACTAGAAGAGTACTCATACAATGCAACGAGACATATTTTGATTTTAATGTTCTATTTTATTATTTATTTCTGTCGATGTTATAATACAATTTTATGTGTTTTTAAGAAAATAATAATGATTTTATTTTTAAATAAAATATAAATTTAAAGATATCATAAAAGTTTAAAATATATATATATGTTAATATCAAAATCAACTATTTAAAAGTTCTCATTTTTTTTCTTGTAATTTCTTTAATTTGTTTTTTATTATAATTTAATTTAAGCTTAATAACAAAATAATTTATTTTCGGTTTAATAATATAACATTTTATAAAGATAATAATTAAGTATTCTGTTAGAACTCAATGATTATCCTAATTATATTTTAGATTTTTTATATTTAAAATAAGATGTTTATCACGTATTTGATTATGTTTATCTGCATTTAGTTACACAAATTCATATATGGAGCTTTAATAAGTTGTACTTACGCACAATCTACTTGCAATATTGAGTTTTAAGTAAYATGCATTAATAAACAGTACTTTACGTATAAAAAATGGTTTTTAAGAGTTTTTGTCAAATGCTTAGTAATATAATATAGATAATTGGTTGGTGGTACGATATAAAGTATGTTTTTTGAATTAGTTTTTTTTCTCTTCCAGATATTGAATATTAAACTTTGTTACATTAACTTTTTTGTTTGAACATTTGAGTATGTTGAATTAGTCTTTTTTGTATGTATAACTTGAAATTAGTACAAGTTGGTACCAACAAGTAGCAACCGAAAAAAATTGGTACCAAGTTTAGTTGGTTAGTACATGGTATACAATTTTGCATACCAATTATAATTGGTTGGCACACAATATTGACGAAGGAAAGTCGGTACCGTACCAAGTCCACCGAGGTTTGTTCCTGACATTTTATAGGCCCTGAATTAAATGTAAAAAAGGACCCTCAATAAGTATGAAAATATCTTTCAGTGTATTATTTGTATCATCAGAAATAACATTGAATTCATATAAAACCATGTTTTCGAGTATTCCTAGACGCAAAATAAATCAATAATTGTTTCTAAATTAATGTTATTTAACATATCATTTTTACATAGCATCATCAATTTGTTCCATTAAAAAGAAACCTATGATATACCTTTAATATATAGATTGACATCATCTGAGATATGTATATCGATATAAATCATCTCATCTCACCAAATGTTAATATTTTTCATCATTGTTTTATACTTTTAGGGTAAAACAATTCTTGTCGAAACCATAAATTTTAGAATCAAAATCTCGTGTTGGTTGTAGTTTGAGATATGTTCTTATTTTAAAGATGGGAGACTACTTAAGATTCATGCACTCACAATTATGTAATAAGGAGTCAATAATGTATGAAAAATACGGGTACTTTTGAAATCATAAATATAGATTTAAGTTGGACTGTCCCATATGGTTGATAACGTTTTTCAAAAAAATAGAAGTTTTCTTAGTTAATAATAAGAAAATCCATTATATTCTCATACAAAAATAAAATTCATGCAGATGGAATAATCAAAAGAGCTGGCAAGAGATAATGACGGACAATATCAAGGTTTTCTAGACAAGTAGTTTTAGACTTAAACTTAGAGAAACAACATACAATACTATAAAATGAATGATGAATTAACTTTTTAGATATTTATTTGTCCAAAAAGTAATCAATTAATATAATTTGGATCGTTGGTACAATACTAAATTATTTATGGGTTCTATTAAATACTAAAAAAGTTTTTTTTTTATTTACTATTTTTTTGAACTACTACTATATATTAAAAAATTGGACCCTCTTTCTTGTAGGGGATGGGCATGTGCCCCATAGGGACAGCCTTGAGTCCGCCCCTAGTCACTTAGGGTGCGTTTGGTACACTGGACAAGGACAAGATATGACAGAACAAGACAGAGATCTCTGTCCCATGTTTGGCATGAATTTTATGTGGAACGGACAGGAACAAAGTGGAACATGCATGTTTCACCCTTACCCCATGGAACAGGCATGTTCCACTTTGTTTATTTAATTTTAAGTTGATTCCAAATATTGAGAATTTTTTTATTTAATTTTATGTTTGTTTAAGGAAATTAGTAAGAAAAAAGGGTCAAGGGGGCGTTTATTAAATATTTAAGGGTTATTTATCAAAAAAAATATTAAATTTTATATTGATAAATTTGTATATTTGGATAAATTGGTGTTATTGTTTATTTTTTTTTTTTATGAATCAACAGTTTTAATGACATAAATGACCGATTTGCCTCCTAAATAATGTCGTGTTTGATGAATTAATGTTTATTTTTTTAAGGTAAATGATATTTCTAAGACACAAAAGTGCTTTCAAGGTGTAGAAGCAAAAAGAGAAATATACATCGACTACAGTTTTGAAGGTCGCCGATCATAGCTACCACCCTCTTCTGGCTCGATGGTTGTTGGAGAAAGAGAGAAAAAGAAACGACGACTAGGGTTTTGAAGGTCGTCAAGTATAAGAAGTAGGGACGTCTTTTTTTTTTTGGCTGAATGGGGATAACACAACATATCTATCTGTGCGATTAAGTCACCTTCTTGTAAATAAGCCGCAAGTAACAGCCTAAATGAGTTGTAAAATAAGCCAATTAAGCTCATTAAACCGCAAAGTAAACACCCCTTTACCCGCTAATGCTTACCGGCAAAATACACCATCCTTATTTTATCGTGTAACATTATTGACCATCAAAATAGATTGTTGGTAAACGTTTTAAACTCGATAACCGCTTGTCGGGTAAGAGTACTTTTCACTCACTTACAGGATAAAAGTTTTTTCTATCACTTATCGGGTAAGACTCTCAATCCTTACTATGCATGCCCCTTATCGGTTAAGATTCTCAATTCTTGTCATGCTTAATCAGTAAGGTACGAAATATTGCTAGATACTTACCTAGTAAGTTTTTAATAAACGTTCCCTAAATGAAGAAACAATAATGCCATTTATATTCTTTATTTATTATATAATTTTACTTTCATTTTTTTCCTTATTACATCATTGTAATAAACAATAAGAAAATTAATTAAAATAGTCATTTTGGCTGGTTGATTTTACCTTTTAACCATTTCTTTCCAAAAATTACACAAATGTCACTACCTCCGCAATTTTCATGTCAATATATCAATGACAAAAAAACATTTCATTTTTTAACACTTGTAATTTTTTACGAACGTGGGTGAAAATGTAATTTTTTTTGCAGACGTGGTGAAAAATGTAATTTTTTGCAGTCGTAGGTGAAATATGTAATTTTTTTTGTCATTTAACTAGGTCCGCAATGAAAATTGCGGAGGCAGTGATATTTGGTTGGTCTTTTAATTTCGAAGAAACCTTCCATACATGGTGTCGAGCGTGATGGGCAGGAACCAAAATACTTACTTCACTGACTTTCAGAAAAATCAATTCCACCGGGGATCAGGAGCGGTAATGAAGTAAGGAGGTCGACTGACTTTTAGCTTGGTCAGCATAGTAAAAACATAAGCTTGTAATATAGCTACACCTAATTCCAGATCGATTAATGTAAAAACTATAAATAAACGACCAACATCCCATATAAAATATCATTCATACATAGAAAAGTCCAAGCGAACCCACTTAAAATATGTACAAAACTATGAACCAGATTTCCCTCTCCTCATTAAAAGCTACTTCTATCTAGTGTTGTGCCAACATCCAACACTGGTGTGCCAACAGCCAACACTGGTGTGCCAGCTTAGCTATCCTTATCAAGCCACTTATTTGATGTCTAGCTTCCCAACTGGTAGACGGTTCCTTGTTCACAAAGACCGGGAGGTAGTAGCCGTAAATCAATCCACTCCCGATGTATTTTTTTTTCATTGGATTCTTCGTTTTGATCCTTGAGCATCAATTGAATCATGAATTTTATGGACCACCACGGAAACGAATCATCAAAATCTTACAGTTAGTATCTCCTCTAGCGAGGCATGACCGCACGAAGCAACGTTCATCAAATTTTTCTTGACGTTTGATGATTTTTCTTGAAAATCCCAGGTTTAACTCAGTAACAATATTTTTTACACAGTAAATATAAATATCAACGATGTTTATTTTTTCACGCAATGAAATATAAATCTTGTGAGCAAAACTTCAAAGTGAGATTTTTACATATGTAGACGAGAATGCTATCAGCAATTTGGGTTATTAGTAAAACGGAAATGAAAAGTCAAAATATTCAAGAAAAATGTATATTCATTTCCAATAAGTTTCTTATTTTGGAGGTTACAAATGAATTATATATACTGTATTATAAAGCATTTGACAAAACCTCTTAAAAATTATTTTTTATGCATGAAGTACTGTATATTGATGCATATTATTTAAAACTCATGATTACAAGTAAATTATGCATAGGTACAACTTATTAAAGCTCCATGTTTGAATTCGTGTAACTAACTGCAGATAAACATAATAAAATAGAGGATAAACATCTCATTTTAAAATATAAAATATCTAAAATATAATTAGAATAATTATCGAAAATATTATTATGTAAAATATCTAAAATAGTTATAACATTGACTAGGATAAAGAATAAAATGAAATATTAAAATCAAAATGTATATCGTTACATTGTACGAGTATCCTTATAGTATTATTAAAATATTAAATATATTTCATAAGATATTATTTATTTCTTATATTATTTAATTTCAAGAAATCTCGTTGGCAGGATTTCTTTTTATCTTTTATATGTAATATTTTTTAAGAGTTTTTCAAATTTAAATAATTTAATTTTCTCTTTTATATTCTCTCCATTTTAAAAAAATTCCTGAAAATTTTATTAAAACAAAAATCTTCAAAATCTCAATTTTCAACATATCAATCAAATGAGGTGTAAAAGGAAACAAATTTTGGTAAAACCTCTAAATTTTGAAATTGTTTTATAATAAAAGAAAAATATTTTTCTTACCATGTCAGCAATATATTATATATGGATATCTTATAGCATCGGTATCTAAACATACAAATATATTATTATTGTTTAAATTTAAATCTTTAAGCATATATTATAATATACTAGAAGGGTATTCGTGCAATGCAGTAAGATACATCTTAATTTTAATATTTTATTTTATTTTTTATCTCAGTCAATGTTATAATATGGTCTTACGTGATTTTTGAAAAAAAAATAATGTTTTTATTTTTGAATAAAATACAAATTTGAAGATATCATAAAAATTTGACAAAAATATATTGATATTAGTATCAAATTAATTATTTAAAATTCCTCATTTTTCATGTAACTTTTTAATTCATTTTTTTTTACTGTAATTTAATTTAGGTTCAATAACGAAGTAATTTATATTTGGTTTAATAATATAATTTTCTTATAAAGATAATAATTAATTATTTTGTTAGAAATCGATAATTATTCTAATTATATTTTAGATTTTTTATATTTTAAAATGAGATATTTATCCTTTGTTTGATTATGTTTATCCGCAGTTAGTTACACGAATTCAAACATGGAGCTTTAATAAGTTGTACTTATGCATAATTTAATTGTAATCTTGAATTTTAAGTAATATGCATAAATATACAGTACTTTATGCATAAAAAATGGTTTTTAAGAGTTTTTGTCAAATATTTTGTAATATAGTATAGATTTTTTAATATATTTTTTAAGTGTCGTATTAACTCTAAAAATTATCTAGAAATTATTTTATATTAAAATAATATATTATTATAAAAATTAAATTTTAATCAAATAACAACAAAATTATAATTAAATATTATTTATTGTGACTYGATACTAAATAATGTATTGATTAAATAATTATAATAGAGTAAAATATATTAAATAAAAAAATCTTTAATTAAATATAATCAACATATTTCTTAATTAAAAGTCTTGACAATTAGAAATCATTGAAAAGAAAATATATTCCAATATGATATAAATAATTTCATTAAAATAATTTATATCGAGTAAATTACAATTTTCGTCCCTGTGGCTTACACAAATCTCAAAAAGTGGTCTTTAAACTTTAATGATTATAATTATCGTCCCTACTGTTTACATCTTGCTTTGAAAACGGTCCATGTTCACCAACTCCGTGAGATTAAGGGGGCATTTTGGTCCTTCTATCCTTCTTTGTCCTTTTTCTTTCTTGTTGTTACTTAAATAAAAAATTAAGGGCCAAAACTGTAATTGTTTTTCTATATGTTCATTATATACAATTACACACAATATATATAAAACAAAACACATAGACACACGTGTATACGTATAATCAGACACACTTATATACACATACATGTATGTATTATATATACATATAATCACACACACCACCACCCTCACATAGGCACACATACAAAACACCGAAAAAAGAACCCCCTACCCGATCTGTCTACTCCGCTGGTAAAATCCTCACATTCGATCATCCTTTAAACAAACACAACCTAACTACATTAGTCACACGAGGTTGGGGGAAATCATCCTTGTTGAAGGAGGGAGGCTGGGACGGTGGTTGGCAGGAGTTACAGGTGGATGTCGAAGGTTGGCTGGAAAACAAAAGTGAGGAGGTGAAGCGACCATGTTGGTGACGTACTCACTTGGAAAAGAAAGTGGAAGGGGAAGGGGGCAACGGGCAAGGAGGGATAGGGTGTCTGTCGAGAGTCAAAATGGGTGGGGGGAGATCATCTTTATCGAAGAATGATGGATTGGGATGGTGGTTGGTCGGAGTTGCAGGTGGTTGTCGATGGTTGGTCGAAAAACAAAAGTGAGGATGAGATGGTGTTGTGCTCGTCGGAAAGAGGGGTGGTCGCCATGAGTCAAATACGGGTGGGGAGATCATTGGGTGATCTGTATGTGTATGTATATGAGGATGGTGGTGTGTGTTATATATAATATACATGTACAGATTAGTGTATGTGATTATATATAATGGTTTATAGATCGAAGAGGGTTTCTTCTCCAGTTTGTATGTGTGTGCGTGAGAGAGGGTGGTGTGTACGATTATATACATATATGTGTTTGTATATATATATATATATATACAATATGTGTTTGTATATATATATATATATATACACAATATGTGTGAGTAAAGAAAAAGAAAAGGACAAAAGAAAATTATAGTTTGATTAACGAAAAAGAGAAAAGGAAAAAGGGAGAGGTAAAATGACCAAACTGTCCTTTTTTTAACGGAGTTAGTGACCAGAGACCATTTTCAAGGCAAAATATAAACAATAAGGACGATAATTATAGTTATTGAAGTCTAAGAACCACTTTCGAAGATTTATATAAACCACAGGGACCAAAATTGTAGTTTACTCGTTTATATTCCAATTATTGCTCAAATTATCAAAAACCATGGGCACTCAAAATCCCAACCTAAAATCAACGATCCAGATAAGTCAACAGTCGGCACATTTCTCGGGACGTATGGAATGGTGAAAACTCGACACCGTATTGTGCCGTTCCCCATCAAAGTCGGTCAGAATTTCGAATATTCTTTTCGCATATCCGCCGTCGGATCAGATTCCCCGGTGTCATCTTCTCCATCGGCTTATCCCTTTCGATTTCATCCTTTTCTTTATTCCAAATATAAATAATCAATCCTATCTTCATCCTCATCTTCAAATCATCTGTTTTGAATCAGTCTTTGTTCAATTTTCCCCAAGTTTCCTATCACCATGTCTGAACAACTGTCGCCGGAGCAAATAAAACTCATCGACAAATTCAATCTGTTCAAGATCAAAGGCAGAGATAAGCGCGGTCGTAAGATCTTAAGAATCATAGGAAAACACTTTCCAGGTAAAGTTTTCTGTCAATTTTATATGAGTTTTTGTTGATTGAAGTCCGATCGTCGATTTTGACGTAATAGGATTTCTTTTACAGCGAGGAGTTTGAGTGTTGACGTGTTGAAGAAGTATTTGGAAGTGAAGATTTTCCCCAAATTGGAGAGACCTTTTGTCGTTGTTTACGTTCACACCGATGTTAATAAGAGTGAGAATTTTCCTGGAATATCTTCTCTCCGATCTGTTTACGATGGGATTCCGGTCAACGTTAAGCAGAATCTGGAGGCGGTTTACTTTGTTCATCCAGATCTGCAGTCCAGAATTTTTCTCGCCACTTTTGGCCGATTCATCTTTACCGGAGGGTACGTTATACTTTCTCCGTCGGTAATTCAAAATTTTTCGATCAAATCTGGTATTGGCAGTGCCGAGATCGTCAAATCTATTACTGTCATGCTAAAATAACTTGTAACTTTTTGCATAACGAGTTGTTACATTATCTGGTTTTTACAATTTCGGCATTGAAAATCACCTAACTTCCCCAATGGTTTTGAGGGTTGTTATGCAATTAGTGTTTGTTTACCGTTCCATTAGGAGGCGGTCTCTTAATCGTGAAGAGTGAAATCTTGTTTGTCATAAAAAATTCTTTTTCTTGATGGTTCTAAAATCCATTTAGTATTTTGGCCTTCTTTAGACATTCAGCGACCTAATTTCATGATAAATAATTACTAAATAATTATATTTTATTTTATGTTATACTATAAATCATTTTGATCATTATCATTCCAAACCGTTCAACAACTACTAAAGAGCCCCTTAATTGTATGGTACAGCTGACTAATGCAATGTTGTTTGGGTTATCATAAATAATCAAATAATGGAGTCATTGATGAGATTTTCAAACAAAATAGTTGAGAAATCGTAAAGTCAATTTCGTGGTGTTTTTTAATGGTTTTCGTGGTAGGCCTATTTTTCTGCAAATGGACAAAATAGCCAATTTCTTTGTTTAAATTAACTTTTTTAGTCAATTTTTTTTAATTGAATTCTTATTTTTTAATTTTTTTTTTGTATTATGAATCTGTGTAAGCTCGATTTCAGGATTTTCATTTGCATAAAGATTTTATAGTATTTTTTTATCTGAAAAAAATAGGTTTTATGTATAATATTTGTATAAAATAGGAGTTTGGTTTCAAAAATGACTTTAAAAAAGAATTTGGTGGGCATCTGAAATGATAACTTTGATTAACCATCGGTTTTTAAATTTTAGTACAAAATTTTAACTATAAGCTGTTTTTGATCGTGTGTGGGTGGATGCAGGTTATATGCAAAGCTGAAATACGTGAGCAGATTAGGATATTTGTGGGAGCATGTAAAAAGGAACGAGATTGAGATCCCAGAATTTGTGTACGATCATGATGAGGATCTTGAGTACCGTCCGATGATGGATTATGGTTTAGAGAGTGACCACCCTAGAGTTTATGGTGCGCCCGCGGTTGATTCCTCTGTGGCTATGTATTCAATGAGGTGTATCTCGTAGTATAGAACTGTGAAAATACAAAACATGTGAACTTTCAAGAAATCAAAAAGCAAGTCAAAAGTTTGACTCTGTATTTGCTTGCTTAAATGTTATTTTCTTGTATATCGTTGATAATAGAATAGAGAATGGGATATTAATCTCCAATATGAATGCCGTTATGGTCTTTGTTTCTAGATTTTGTTTTTCTGTTTGCATTCCTAGAAACGGGTTTAAACTCGGCCTTTGGGACTGGTCTTGTTGATACCTTTTGGTTATTGTGGAAATGGTTTGCTTTTTGAATTGTTCTTGACTTCTCGAGTAGGGGTTGATTGATCGGTCTTGATCTAGGTTCTAAATGATATGGTGGCATGGTCATGGTTTAAGTTTTATGAGTCATGGTGAAGTCATGACGTTTTTCAACAGAGTGCCCTAGGCAATATGTGTATACATTTATGTATGTACATATACTTGTATGTGTTAGTGTTATGGATAATCCCACATGACAATTAAAACAATATAGTTATAAACTAAAAGGAAAAGAAGAATCATTTATATCATATTAGTTATGTACCCGTGCAATGCGGCGGGAGCAGTGAATTTTAACAATTTTGAAGTTTCATTGGTTTTATTGGAAAAGATTTAACGATGATATAAGTTACAGTTGATCTTTACATATTAATACAATTTGAATAAATAAGAGTTATGGTTTCAAATACAGTCTATCGATAGTTTAAAATCCAACATGTTTAAACGATTCCACAAACGTGTTCGATTTACACCAAGAGCAAAGAATCAAGAGACCGAGAGTTTTAGAGTAATTGAATTAGAGATGAATGGAAGAACTTTTAATAATTCATGGTGGATATTAGTTTGAATCTTGGGGGATGGGGAGAAGACATAGAAGTATGAGAGAGTGAAAACATAAGTGAAAGGTATCAAAAGTATCTTGAGAACATGAAAAGAAAAAGTAATAATGTGCATTAATAACTTGTATTATATATTATTTTAATTGTGGATTAAGAGATTTTAAGATTGAATGCATAAAGTAGTAGTACTTAATGCATTATGAGTTGTTTTTAAGACTTTGTGCATAAATGTATAGTAATTTATGCATTAAAATTTGTTTTTAAGACTTTTGATAAATCCGGTTTATAAGATATTATAGATATATCAAACTTATAAGAAAATGATATTAAGAGTTGGAAATTGGGATTTAAATCTTTTTATGTCTTTACTTATTACTTTCTTCAATCTTCAAAGAATTATTGTTCGACTATCTATGTACCGAAATGAGGGTAAAGATTTATCTATTTAGGATTTTTAGTTTTTATGATTATTTTTAATGTTTATTTAAAGTTTAGGTGTCGTACATAATTATTATTTATCCTCAAGTTATATGCATAAAAAAGGTTAAAAAAAACCATGTCTTACAAAATAATACGACATAACGGGTTATTGTAAGAAGCCAACCTTATAGTTGAGCCACATGGGTTAATGTGACGACGAAACCAACCCTTGACGGCATAACAAGTTATTTAAAACCATGATCTTGATATACAGAATTGGTTTGGTTGATAAATGAGGGTTTGATTGATTTTGATTGATCTTAATTTTTTTTTTGCTTTTGTGATGAATACGGAGTTGATTGATTTAGGTAGGCAGAACATGATTAGTTCGGTTTTAATGATGTGTTCAGATAAAATAGTAACCGATTCAAACTGATTTGATCAATTCCTTCTGTAGGTCTTATATGTAACAGATTTTCGAAGGATCTTGATTAGAGTTGAATTAAGAATTTAAAAAGTAGCGTACATTTACGTTATTTTTAATTTCGAAATTTAAAAAAAATAATAAATGATATGGTTGATATTATACATCAGATTCAATGTAACTTCTAATTCAACTATACCAATAAGAAAAATTAGACTTAGTTATTATGACTTTCAGTGAAGATACGCCTGTACAACGAAGTTAGTCACAAAGTCTATGTCCGTATGTTTTTACGCTGCAGTCTAGAATCATTATAGACTTTCAATCTAGTCCAGTAGTCTAAAACGCTTGGTGATCTTAGTGACGCATACCACGGTGGGGTCTTCGATGGCAATTTAGTAAAACTCGACAAATGTATAGTGTAAGTCTGTAATAATCTAATTTGAAAATACAGGTGGTTTTTATTATTATTTAATGTATTGAAAATGTACTTTAAATTTATCATAGTAGAATAAGTAATACTACTACATGGTTCATAAATGTAATAACTAGAAGAGTACTCGTGCAATGCAGCGAGACACATCTCGATTTTAACGTTCTATTTTATTATTTGTCTCTGTTGATGTTATAATACGATTTTATGTGTTTTTAAGAAATAATAATGATTTTATTTTTGAATAAAATATAATTTTGAAGATATCGTATAATTTTGAAAACAAAATATCAATGTTAATATCAAATCAACTATTTAAAAGTTCTCATTTTTATGTAATTTCTTTAATTTAGTTTTTAATTTTAATTTAATTTAAGTTTAATAACGAAATAATTTATTTTTGGTTTAATAATATAACATTTTATAAAGATAACAATTAAGTATTCTATTAGAACTCAATGATTATTCTATTTATATTTTAGATTTTTTATATTTAAAATGAGATGTTTATCCTGTATTTGATTATGTTTATCTGTAATTAATTACACGAATTAAGATATGGAGCTTTAATAARTTGTACTTACGCACAATTTACTTGCAATATTGAGTTTTAAGTAATATGCAATAATAAACAGTACTTTACGTATAAAATATAATTTTTAAGAGTTTTTGTCAAATGTTTTATAATATAATATAGATATCGTCAATTATGTTAGAAATGTAATCTTGATAAATAAATAAAAAACGCAATATTTACCTTAACATATAATTTATTAATAGAAATGTAATCTTGCAATAAAGCGTAAAATGTCTTTGATTTCAAAAAAGAAAACTCGAAACCTCAATCCTAATTCATGTTTGGATTTATTCATTGTATCACTCGATTTAATTTTATAGACTCGTGTGGTTATGAAAATGCGAGAGTGTGTTCGGTTGGTTATCAGTTTTATTAAGTATTTTACTGTATTATTTGATGTTTATTTCGTATATGAGCGTCAGAGACCCTTTTGTTTGATTGACATCTCTTTAAAATTTATACAATTTAGTTCGCCAATGACCAATAAAATCTTGATGAATGATTGCTCTGCAATAAGATGATATCTTAATAACTAAACAAAACAACAACATACATAAATTTAGGATATTAGAAATACATGAACGAAACTTATGGATCCAAACTATTATTATAATTAACTGTTCTTTTAAGTGGTAAACGTATTCCTAATGACTCTTAATCTTAATTCGCTCTTTATCAAATGGTTCATATCATGGGGGTTGAAAGAGATTTGTTAGCAAAAACTATTTAACTTTTATATTTTTATAAAAACTTATTAATTTTTATATTTTTGTACTAGTTTGACTGATTCGGATTTCAAACATAAAAACAAATAATCTTACTAATCCAAATTTCAGACTTCAGAACCATATTTTATAAATCAAAAATGAAATCAGACTTCATCATCTTTTAAAAAATAAACGTGACCAAACAAGTTAAAAATCATCTATCTTAAATTCTCATGCTCTATTTTTATACACCAATCAAATAAATACATGTTATCAAAGAAAATATAAACTTAATTTTAATAAAAACAAAAAGTACATAAAAATGTAACGTGTCTTCAATTTCCCCCCCAATAAACTCCACATGTCAGGGAGAAGAGTGTATTTGTGGCCGCTGTCCAACGGGGATAAGAGATCCATTTAGACCGGCCCTCGATCACGCCGGCATAATGATATATACATACATGATATATATATTAATGGGTAAATTGTATGAAAAAATAACGTATTTTAATTTAATTATTATTTTGAGTAATGTATTTTTAAAATTTTTATTTTGATAGTTAAGATATAAATTTTTAAATATTTAAATAATTAGATAATTTAATATTCACTAATTTTAGACTAAAAAAACTAATTTTAAATTAAAACATCACTAGGTCAACAAATAATATCGAATTGGATACTATATCATTTGTTATATCAATATAATAACCGGTTAATACTTCAACCAATTACCTAAATACTTAAATATTTAAAACTTTGAGTCTTAATAACGTTACTCAAAATAAGAATAAGTAATGATCTGCAACATCACCTCAAATTTAAACTACAGTTTGTCAATTTCATCGGTTTCTGAGTAGTTTTCGTGAAGTTGTGGTGTTTAGTTGCTCGATTAACGTAATCAAAATTGCAATTATTCATTATAGATTATGGTGTTCTTGTCTTGGATTCGCCCTTCTTCCAAAGAGCAGAAGGATTGCATTAACAAGTAAGATTTAATTCGTTATTCTAATTATATTGCTCGATTCCATTTCATTTTTCAACATTTGAGATATTTTGGATTGTTTCCCCCTTTTGGACTGTGATTGTGGTACCCTAATTTTGTAGTATGATTCTAACTCAAAAACCCTAACTCCGGTGGTTGTGTTTATGCATCAGGTCAGGTACCTTTAATTATGACGGTAAGTATAGGGGAGCTACCGCAAAGCCATTATCTATGCTCAAAGAAGATAAAGAGCTTTCTAGAGATGGATTTTTAATTAATCATTCAAAAATCTTGGTCGGATCAGGCTCTGATGCATATGAAAAAGGCAAGATTGCTCTCCAGAATTGGAGGTTTGTTTACATATTGATTAATTTCCCAATTAATTTGAAAATTGTGGACGAAATCTGATTGTGATTTGTGATTTTGAGTACATACAGTTGACGTTTGTTTTTTTGTTTGGATATTTGATAGGCATTTTGGATTGAGCTGGACATTTGTTGATCCAAAGACACCAATTGACAATGGGGTGAAGTTTTGTGTTTGTGTGAAGGAGTTGCTTCCATGGGTCATGATGCCTTTGCAGGTTGTGTATGTTAACGAAACTAGAAGCCGTAAATCGGCTGTTGCCTCTTTCGGTTTTGCTGGAGGCACACTCAGAGGACACTTGCTGGTTCGTGCTTCCCTCTTTTGTCTATGGAATGTATTATTTTAGTTGACAAGGCAATTCTGAACTGTTCCTATTGTAATATGCATTGGGAATAAGTGAGTTTTTATGTTTTAGACTTGTACGTACACAAGCAGTGGCGAATGTAGTCATGGGCTAGGGGGTCTGCATGCCCCTGCTCTATCGTTCCGACACAATGGAAAAAGTTTTAAGGGTCTTAAAAGTGCACCCAATTTAATTTGATATGTGCTCCCCCAAAGTTAAACAAAAAGTGGTTGCAACCTACTGGAGTGTCATTGCATGTGGCATTATAGGTTGGAAATTCGAAACCCTTTTACTCTTTTCTAACTTTTTTGTAATAACAGCAGAATGAGGGGAAAAAGAAGAATGAAGAAACCACTTGGGCGTTTTAAAAAACTACTTTTATGACTTCTTTTAGTTAAACCGTACATTTTATAATTGGTTTTTGTGTTATTTTATAGTATGTGTGACATGCTCGGAAAATTTTATGGATCCGCCTCTGCACACACGTATACAACACCCTAGCGTCTATAATCTTTCAAGACTTCAAGTAACCAGATCTTGGCATCCATGTGCAACCAAACGAACCCGATATATCCTACTCGTAAGTAGGGTCAGAGGTGGGATGTATAATTCCTCAATTAATTGAAGACTGAGCCATACCTTGACTTATGGTGCCAATTGTCAAAGGAACTACTCATCACTCTAAGTTGAGGGAACCTTTGAAGTACATTTTACTTCTTATCAACTATTGTAAAAATGTTGGTGTTAGATTTATAGCAAAAAGCATGTCAATCTTGGACTTCAGATCTAGTATGTGTGACCCTAAAAGTCAATATTCGTCGTTTACATGGAATTGTAGGAGTAATATAATCTGAATTTGTATTTATGTTTGTGTAGATCTCCTAAAACTTATTTAGAATTGTGATTCTGAACTCTGAATCGACTTTTTCATTGAAAATTTGATGAAAGCAGGCTGGAGAAGAGCGCTTTTCAATCGAGATGGATGGAAACAAACAAGTTTGGTATGAAGTACTTTCCTTCTCAAAACCAGCACATGTTCTATCCGTTATCGGGTACCCGTATGTAGTTCTTAGTCAGAAGTATTTTGCTCACCGATCTAGTGATGCAGTTAGAAAATTTGTGTCCAATAAGTAAACCCCCGACATTATGTCATTGCAAATTAACATTCATTTATATTGTTGTTCCCTGTTATGAGGATGAAAGATTTGGATAGAATTCCCCTCTTTTTGCCATAGTGATTTCAAGTGTTGGTTCCAGTAATACCCCTTCATGACATTCTCATACTCTCTTGCTTAATTGGTGGTGGTGGCGAACTGGCGTCTTGGTTAGACTGGATTCAGATGTTATTTTTGTCTTCTTAAAATCAAATTATGAAATCTTTGACATTGGCCAAGGAATGGAATTCATTTTCTTGACTAGTTGACTTATGCAAAGGAATGGTCAAATCCTTCAACCGCGGGACTTGGCTTAATACTATCAATCCAATTCCGCGAACCAAACGACCTCTTATTTTTTTATATTTATGCTCTTCGGGTAACTATCCTTGTGGCCTTGAGAAGTTTTAAAAGACCTATTGGCAAGTCATAAGGAAAACCGATAAAGATATGAAAACAATGACAGCCAAATCTGCTGGAGCTTATGGGAATGATATTTTGAGTACAAGATGCGAAGAAGATACACTTGAAGAACTTTTCGTCTTATTAGTTGAGATACGAGAGATCAAGCCCTTCTCAAACTGCTGAAATTTATGGGACTCACGAATTCTGGATCGTCGCCAGTAACCAATGCAAGAGCTGCCAGTTTGGAGGCTGCCTGAGACGGATGAAATGCATCCCAGAACAAATATTCATCCCGATTCGGGCAAAGGTACACTCCTTTCGTGCAGTCGCTTACACTTCGTTGTGTCGTATTGCCACAACATGCTGATTTCACATCTTTGAACTCTGAAAATGTGTCACTCTAAGATATCTTAGGATGTGCAGAAAATCATCTGATCCAATTAGAGTCGATAGACTGTAATTGGATATCTAATTATAATTGATTTGATTGGATGAGATCCAAAATCTTAACATCCAAATTGGATAGTTCAGTTCTTGCATGGCATACTAGAATCCAATAAATCTGAACTGAATCCAAATATCCGGTGATCATCCAATCACCCATGTAGTTACCATCCAATTAATAAATATATATAAGAGTAAACTACAAATTCAGTCACTGTGGTTTGCTGGAAATAGCACTTTCCGTCCCTGCAGTCTCGAAATTACAAGATGACCATTGTGGTTTGTAAAAACGTCCGGATTTGGTCACTCCCTCTAACCTCCAATTAAAAAAATCCATTAAAATGTGGGGTATTTGTATTCTTTTATCGATTTTTTTCTTTTTTATCTGATATCGATTTTATGATTTTTGCTTATGTGATTTTGATCAAGTAAAAGACAAGAAAATGATAAAGGATGAAAATACCCCTCACTTAATGGAACTTTTTAACGGGCGCTAAAGGGAGAGATCAAATCCGGACTTTTTAGCAAACCACGATGGTCATTTTATAATTTTGAAACTGCATGGACGAAATCTGTTATTTTGACAAACCCCAGGGACCAAATTTGTAGTTTCTCTGTATATAACTAATAATATTTTACAATATTGTTTTTGATATTATAAATTTTAAAATTGTATGTAGTGTTTTTAAGTAATTTAGGGAAAATATAAGGATAATCGGTTGAAAGGGTGGAATTGGATAAATACAGGATGGATCCAATCTAATTCAATGGATAACCAATAATAAATTAATAATATCTAATATATGAAACCAGATCGCCATCCAATCATCCTTTGGATTTGATCAGTTATATATGTAAACCTGATCGGACCAGTTGGCAAAATCCAAACATCCAATGGATAATTGGTTCAAATAGGTTCCACATAAATCCATTGGATTTCAACCGATGAAAACTTAATTTATGCATTTTCAGGTGAACAGAAAACTTACGACTGCCAATTGGGTTGTCAATGATGTTCATGGTCATATTGTATGTGTTCCCAAGTGAGTACTTGAATCCTTCAAGTGTGGAGCTGAAGTTTTGCAAAAGGGATTGAACCGACACGTAGAACGCTCTAGCCAAGTCGTTTGGCTCGTCTCCACAAGGACCACCATTGTATGCACGAGCCATTGGACAACACCCGATTGCTGCAACGCTTAATATTCCAAACTTTCTAGCCCCCATGTTATGTAAGTTCTGCCAGTTCAAACGCGATATAATCAATATAACAAGAGGTAGAAAGTTCAAAAACGAAATTTAGAGGTGTACCGTTAGTTGGGTTGACTCGACTCGAGTCACGCACCTTTATATGGATGGCGTAGGTGTCTGTAAGGTTGGTGATGAAAAGCTCGGGAGTCATAGAATGTGTGAATATATAGGTCATGATGTCGTTGCTTCCGATACTCAAGATGTACATGGAACTTTGAAGCAGAAGATCGCCTCTAGACTCGCCTAGTAACGCAGTTATATTCCCCCGGACAGTTGCAAATTGTTGAATTTGCTCTTCCAACGATATCACTTCCCCCTATATGTATTTTATCTACCGTCATACGTTTGTAAGATGTATATAAATGCTAGCACTAGAATCGGCCTAGCCCAGGCCGAGCTTGGTCTAGGATAGGTCCATCCACATGTCAGGAAAGTCCCGATTTGCCGACCTATTGTATTTCATTTTCGCAGAGGAGAGACTTACAAAAACTTGCCCGATATCCTTCGCAAGACCGGCACCTCCCGAAGCAAAGTTCACCCCATTAAGTATTGCTCCCGTGAAGTTGGAATGATCCTCAACGAGTGCAAGAAATGGCAGCGGACTGCGCTTGTAGCCACCCAAGAGCTCGACTGCACACGCGAGAATGATTTTTTTGATATTAATAAATATTTTAATAATATAATTAATGTTGGAGCTGAATCTGATATTTCTTTTTTGGAGATTTTGACTTTTGTTTCTCCATTATGGAGAGTCTGTTGGAGATGCTCTAACTTACCGATGGTATCAGCAGGGTTGAGGCCATTGCTGAACCTTCCGGTTGCTTTGGATCGATGATAGTCGATCCCATAGTACGGATGATCTGACCGTGCCGTGCAATTCAGGTGGTTGTTTGTGCCAACATCCACGGTCGAATCGCCAAATATGAATACGGGTCCCATGGTTTTACTGGCCGTCCCCTTAGCGGCTGTTGTCAACACGCCAAAAAGGGCTATGCATACCACAAGGAGCTCGGGGTTTCGAGTTCTCGATGCCATGGCCATCTTTCGGATTGGTAAGTTTGTGAGGAAACATGGGAATTAATTGTAGAGGATCGAGCCTTTTGGATCTAGAAAGTACAGGGGGAAGAGGTTAAGATTTATTGGCAATGGAGAATTCTAGTTTATATCACTTACTATGATCATCCTAGTTTATGACCAAATTTACTATGAAGAATGCCATTTCTAGTTTTCTTTGTGAAATGCTCGGTTTTTAGACTTACAGACCGTTTACTAAACACTTATCTTGATAAGCGTATACCAGTTCAGTTACCTTACCGGGTTTAACATAACAAGGACCAAAAATCTTACACGATAAGAAGGAAGACAAAGACTAAAAGTCTTGCTCGGTAAGTGAGTGTGATGACTCTTACCCAGTATGTGCTTATCATCAATCCATTTTGATGGCAAGGGATGTTAACGCATAAGGTAAGTGAGAGTAGTGATTTTTTCTGATAAGTGCTTATCGTTTAAGTGGTCGGTAAAGGGCTACTTATAATATTAGTATGTGGCCGATTTAAGTTGAGCTGGGTCTATGCTTACTTGGCTCGTGAAAAAGACTCTACGCTTAGGCCTTAGGCTCAGTTTGAGCCTAGATAAGACGGGATTCGTCTTGGCAAGAGCATGATTCTCGCAAAAAACATCCTGTAAAACATGATGAAACAAGTTTTATAAAACAATAAGGGGTGTTTGGATGTGGATTTTTTCAATAATTTCGTTGTGAGTTGAAGGATCAGAATCAGTCGATCAGATAATGCATGTAACAACAAATTAAAGCTAAAAAATAATACAAAGACAACTTTTGCAAGATGCTTGAAGCAAACCAAAAAGAAATAAACATAAAAACAAAAAGACATCCCAAAAAAACCACTCCTACCCTCGAGCGACTTAAAAGATTACCCTCCTGGATTACAACACCAGAGTAGCTAAATTTTTTCATACGGTTAGCTAACCAAAGATACGAAAGAAGTTGAACATTAGAAGCCAAATCAGAGTCTAGAGGTGGTCGATCAAAAAACACCACCTTGTTACGTGAACTCCAAATTATGCACATGACAGTCTACAAAATTAAGGGTTGTTTGTTTACCTCTTAATAGTTTCATTAAGAGATAGGTCCTGAATCGTTAAGAGGTGAATCTTGTTTGACAAAAAAAAAAGTTTGCTTCTTATTGGTTTTAAAACTCTCTGAATGGTTTTGTATCATGGGTCTCCCTTAACCATTCAACACCCTAATTTCATCGTAAATAATTACCAAACAAATATATTTTATTTTGTACTATATCATGAGAGTCTTTTAATCATTCTGACCGCTTAATCATTCTGCACAAAACCATTTAGTAACTGTTATATATAGACATAATCATTATGCACCAAACCATTCAACAACTGTCATACATAGACAATGAAACACGTTAAATCCCTGTATTTCGTTTTACATGCTTTGGTATCATTGTGCAATCCACATTGTTGTATTAATTAGTTCACATTCCGTTTTCGGTTTGATTTGGGACCTTCGTGATCACTTGTTTGGTTATTGGTTGGAAACTATATCCGTACATGTCATACACGATACAATAGTCATAAAATACAATTAACAGTGAATCAAAGGGGTAATTAAGGCCCAAAAAATGTAGTGAAAATCTCATCTTTCCTGGATTCGGACGCTGCCAAGTCCTTTTAGCCATGGAGGTTAACCTACGATGATTCCAAGCCATTCGTGATCACACAGAGATTAGTCGGTACACGTAAGCTAACCCGAATACCCATAGTTATAAAAGAAAAGGTTGACTATAACCATATCTAAGAACAAAGTGTACAAATTTAATCTCTCATCTCTATTTTGTACATCCATAACTAGCCTCCTCTACATACAAATGTACAACCACCATTACAACCACCAATCCACCGGTTCATAATTCCTACGTCCCAAAATAAATGTTCACATTCTTGTTTCATTTTATCCCAAGACAAGACCACTTTCACAAGTGTCTACTATCCAATTCTATCCTTAATTATGAGACGGAGAAATTCATCACTCCTCTATTATTAAGGGTAAAATTGTCATTTAGTTAACTGAAAAGTGTAATAATCACACATTTCTAAAACTGTGTGTCTTTTTCATTATGGACATTTATTTTGGGACGGAGGTTGTATTTGCTAACTGATGACATGCCCGCAAGATTCTCCTTCGAATTGAGACCATACGAGTTGCTATATGTCTTGTGTCCGATGCCTGCTCTTTTCAACACGAGCTGCTCGTTCTGAAGAAACGATTCGTACCTCTGCCTATGATTGGACTCATCTATGTTGTTGAACGACTAAAACCGAACCACTAATATCGAATTCACTAGAAGCCAAGAAATCGCCTACTACGCCAAGCTCCGGGCACTCTTCCCAGTCACTGATTCCGGTAGTTAAAAGGCAGTCTCCTCTTCCACCTTTCCCTACCACGAACATTGAGTATGTCTCCGCCATGTCTCTCAATATCATCCCAGTTTGCACCCCGTTCTCCACGTACTTCTCTACGAATCTCACTTTCCCCGATGTCACGTACCTGAAAATTCACCCAGCAACTACTCTCAAACACCGTTACACCGGTGATATATAAGGGCAAATTGCATGAGAATGCAACGTACTTAGGTGAACTTATTTTGTGTAATGTACTTCCAAAACCATGATTTTGGTACCTCATATATGACATCTCACGCATTGAGGGTGCATTTGGTATTATTAGATCGGCGACAGTGAGATAGGTATATGAAAGAATTCTACAAGGTCTTAGGGTTCTAATTTGACAAGGGTAGTTTAGTAATTTACCAATCATGTCCGATTTTCCTGATTTTTGTTCCACTATTTTGGTGGGACCGCAATTTTGTCCCACTCAGGTCCAGTCCTGGTCTGATGTTGCACCATACGTAAGACAAGTTTTTGTACTGTTCAGTCTGATCCTGTCTCACGTACCAAATGCACCCTTAGGTAAATGGTTTACATATGAGATTACATGAAAATGCAACATACTTTGGTCCGACTGCTATTTTGTTGTGTAACATATTTTCGTCTAAATGTTTGATATATCAAATCTGAGATACCAGATTGAAGGTTTTAAAAAGTACATTGCATTTAATTGGAATCAGATCAAAGTAAGTAAATTGTAAATTGTTTTGTCATACCTGTGATAGAAATTTGCCAATGCTGAATTGTCTGCCTCTTCAATCTGTGTTTCATGATCCTGTATAGCCACCAAAACATCATCATCCTTCTGATCAACATTAATCCTCACATTAGGATCTTTCGCTGATGTCGGGAGAAATCGAACTATCGTAAGGCTCGTATGATGATGCGTGCTAAGCCGTTTACTGAATCCCAACGCCTCACGGTCATCCGGCCCACCAAAAAACAAAGTCGCGATTTGCTGCAAAGATTCAGAGCCAGCAGCCTGCGTGCCCGTAGTCGTATGCCCACGATCTACAAGCATAGCCACCGAGCATTGAGCGTTTCTCAACACTTTCTGGTTCGTAGTCCTCACACCTTCCTTGTCGTTCTCGAATTTCCCATCGATTCTTTGATGTTTATGAAACGGAAGAACGATAAACGATGCACGAATATCATCAGCAAAATCGCAAACATCTTGATACATGCTGAAGAAAGGTGCAATTGTTTGAACTTGATGGATCATCATTTGGGTCTCTTCAATGAAAATGTCAACAGCCTCATTTATCTCCACAACATCATTGCTGCAATAATCTTCATCATCACTAAATTCATCTTCTTCTGGTTCATAATATGATGAACTCTTCTTTATTTTCTCGGGAAGCTCGATCAAATGCATTAAGTACGGAGAAATAGGGACATCATCGGACCCTCTTAGTGATACAATGAGCCTGACCATGGTGTTGACGGGGTGGCGACTATGCACACACGCAAGTAGTTTTAGTTCCTTATCGGGACTGTGAAATTCCATCGGTATGTGCTTGAGACCGATTGTATTGCTTTCTCTTCTCACCAAGAAACCGATTAGTGCAGCTGAGATTAGGGAACTAATCACCACAGCTGAAACCATCAAATTGTAGAATATCGCACTCGTTAACACCTGCATTAACACAAAAACTCGATGATTATAAGTCTTCCTGATGTGGGTATACCGTACGTTTCTTGGTTTCACATCCTTTTACCCTCTCAAACCAAACTGACCCAGTGTATCTCACTCGAAAGCAGGGATACTGTTTTTGTAAACACCCCAGCTTTTACAAGAGTGAGCAAAAAGGTAAAAGAAGCAAAGACTAGCAGATAGTAAGCAAATGAGTAAGAGAAAGTAAGAAGTAGGTATATTAAAAGGTTAAAAGGCAAAGTCCAAAATGACATGATGGTAAGGTTAAGCTTCAAAGCTTAGGAGCCACGGCGAGGCCACAATGTTTTTTAAGGCGTGATTTACAGGCAGCAATCTATATATCATATATTTGATTATGCATAGGCACATGGTTTTTTACTACTACTCAACGAGTCAATGACAGTAAACAATTTAAATTAGGTTATATACTAAAAAACCTAAAAAGCAAGACAAAAAAAGGTAAGAAAACACACATATCGCTTTACAAAGACCGCGTATTGGGCATCTCGTGCCACAAGCTTAACGTGTCGTGAAACACGAGTCTTGAGCCATGACACGCCAAGGCGGCTGTCGTGGGAAGTCTTTTAGAACACTGATAAAAGGTAAGGCAAGGCAAAACGCATATTCCCTTCCCTCTCTCCCTCTCTCCATCGGAGGACTCTTTTGACCTAATCATGAACATTTTGAGAACCAAAGAGCTAACTACGTATTATTCATGACGAATAAATCCTGAATAATCATGCTTTTTATCATGAAAATCATGCATTTTATCATGAGAGTTTATCACGGCATTCATTATGAATAAAACATTAATAGTTGGTTCCGATATTCTCTAAATATTTACGGTTCTAATTTGAACGTGCCCTTAGATGACTAATCGTCAACTTATCACGAAAAAATATCCATTTTTTAACCGTGGTATTGACACCTTTTGGCTATTCCTAGTCCACAGGGTTCATATTGCAACTGCATAATCCTCAAAATTAATTTTCATTCGACAAAAGACTCGAGGTAAAATGGTAATTTTATGTCTTCAGACTGTTGATGCAGAACAGTTTCCAAACAATCATTTTCTATCCAGCACTAAATCATACATTATACAGAGTCTCTTAATCATTTTGATCACTTAATCATTAGACACCAAATGATCCTGAAACTACCAAACAGCGCCCCTAAGTGCAAAAATGTAAACAGAAGCAAGTCATCAAGATAAGGAATCACTTACTTTATTTTGCATAGCTGTTGTCAAGGTCAAAATATCTACATGCCCCTTCATGTTCATTAGAACAGCAAGAAGAACACCCTCGTTTAATGGCGTCTTTAGATAACGACAAGCGGAAAGGGTGCCGAGGATCTTGCCACCAATGCTCAACACAATAACCATTACAACAATGCCAATCTTCTTTAACTCGTTTATATAAGTTGTATCGGCTTTGAACCCGGTGTAGCCAAAGTAGATGGGGAATATGAAGTTGTGAACCATATACGTGAGGATGGCCAATAACGTTCGAGCTGATTTCCCTCCCCTTGGGAACGTCGACCCCATAAGAAAACATGCTATTATGCTGCTAAATCCCATGGTTTCCAGAGTCATGGCCGCAACAAGAATGACCAAACAGATTATCATCACTTCTAAGGCTTGAAGGTTCTTTTGGTTTCTATTTCGGCGGTTAAGCCAGTTAACTAAGTGTGTTGTGAAAATAATAATGCCCACAAGAAGTAGGAGTGAACAGAAGGCCATGAGTACCCAACCGTTAACCGTTCGTTTGTGTTTTTCCCCCGAGACTAGAACCAAAATGAACACAGCATACATGTCTCCAATCAAAGAAGAAGATATAGCGAGTCGGCCAATATCAGAGGTCGCAAACTTCAAATCAGCTGCTAACCGAAATACAATGGGAGAAGCTGTGTTGGCTAAAATCACTGTGATTACTAAAGCCAATGTGAAATGTGATCCACGAGATCCTGTCTCATCATACACGAAATAAGAAATAGCAGCTGCAAAGACTGTGCACATGAAACAACCACCAAATGCAATAATGCTTGCTGGGCGTAAGTTTCGCATTAGATAAGGAACGTCCATCTCGAGCCCCATGAGAAACATGATACTAATTCTACAGTACAATGCCAGACTTTCGTAGAAATCAACGGCAAAATTCTGAAAGAAGAACACGTGTATTCTTGGTGATCTTGATAAACCTGATGGACCTAGCACGAATCCCGCCTGCCAAAAGAAGAATCCAACAAAAAATGAAAGTGGTAACTTGATCATTATGCAAAATCAATTAACAATAGATCATCACATTATGTTGTTATCTGTGTATAGGGAGGGATGCATTTGAGCGAGCCCAAGATTTATTGGCATGAAACTTGGCTCGTCAAAAGGAGGGTCAAGCTCAGCTTGTTGCTTATTAAGCTTGGAAGTTGGAAGCCCAGGTTCGGATCAGCTCACCAGAAGCTCAAGCCTAAGCTTGGTTTCTATGGGTTCATAACGGCACATACAAGCTTCTTATATATAGGAGCTAATTATATACGCTCATAAAAACTTATATAAAAATTAAATGAAGATGAAATCCTTGGAATAAAGTCATACAATTCTATGTACAGAAGGGCCTGCTTGATAGCAGCTTAATGAGCTTAATGGGGATCACAACTTACTCGGTCAACTATACAAGACTGTTTGGTAGTGGCTTAATGATATAGAAAGTGGCTTATTTAGTAAGCAGTAGGGAGTTTATGCAGAAAGCCAAGTTTTTTCAAAACCTGCCCCTCCCAGCTAAAAAACACTCATTCCGTCTATGAAAAAAATAACAAAAACCTTCATAATCTATACAGACAGATTAATCCACAAAGAAAACTTTATCCATACACGACCTAATTGAAACCAACCAAACAACCTCTAAAAGTCTCCAAGAGGCAAGGCCATTGCAGCTTGTAGAGGCTCAGCTCATCTAGGTTCACCAAGATACCGGTGGTTGAAACAGTCAAGCAAACTCGGGCTCAGTGTCGAAACCAATTTTAAGGTTTATCTTACGCAAACATAATCCTAAACTATTGAAGTCTAAAACTAGAGAAATGGAACTTGTAATTCACTCCAACCCCAAATCATACAGTTTCAATTAGAGCAGAAAATGCATATAAGAACATGAACAAAAACGCAAATTAATTCTCTAACCACAAAACCGAGCAAAGATCAAACATTAAGGTCAAAATATCACCACAGAATCAAGACTCGTATAGAACCATTTAGGGGCACCGGTAGGGAATTCTTAAATCGGAAACAGCAGCCATGAATTCACGATTACCCCTTTCCCCTCAAATCAGGCAATATTCAAAACAAAGGACGTAATCGAATGAATGAAGAATGTGAGATGGAAGATGTGACATACTTACGAGGATCTGAGCAAGCGGAGCAGGTTGGCCCAAGGGTTTGAGGAAGATCTGAAAAACATGAGATAAAACCAAAATGGCAGCGACCTGTGTGGTCATTGTCAAGGCTGGGTTCCCGGTATTGTTATCAGGACACTTCAACTCCGTTGAATCATCCATGGTTGTTTGATTTTTGTGTTTTCTCCCAGAAATGATGAAGAAAAAGAGAGGGAAAAGGTTTGTTAAGAGGAATTTGGAGGAGGGTGAAGGGGAGAAGAACCTTCCCTCCTACAAATTTGACATTTTTGGGTTGATGAAATCGATATATTGAGAGAGAAAGAATCCCAGAACAATTTCTTCAAGAAACATTGAGTTGATGATGGCTCCCCTCTTTGTTTATTCATTCGGTTGATTTCAAAACCGAACCAAATTCACATATCGATTTAATAAAACCGTATTTTAAAATTTTGTCCATTTTCAGTTATGAATTAGATTTCAATAAAATAAATTATTATTATTTTATATATACACATATCTATACTATATTATAAAATATTTGACAAAAACTCTTAAAAATTATTTTTATGTATAAAGTACTGTATGTTAATGCATATTACTTAAAATTCAATAATACAAGTAAATTATACACAAATACAAAAACTTTATTTTTTAATTCGTGTAACTAACTGCAGATAAACATAATCAAATACAAGATAAACATCTCATTTTAAATATAAAAAACTAAAATATAATTAGGATAATTATTGAATTTAAACAAAATACCTAATTATTATATGTATAAAAATAAATTATTTTATTATTAAATCCAAATTAAATTATAATAAAAATTTGAATTAAAAAACTTACACAGAAAATGATAAATTTTAAATAGTTAATTTAATATTAATATCGATACATTTTTTTCAAATTTATATTTCGTTCAAAATAAATATATTATTTTTTTCTAAAACCACGTAAAACCGTATTATATCGATAGAGAAAATGAATAAAATAAAACATTAAAATCGAGATAAATCTCGCTGCATTGCGCGAATACCCTTCTAGTAGATATAAAATGTATATCTTGATATGTATGATGTATTTAAAAAGTTTATATGGTTCTTAATTTTTTGTTCGGATCATTTTTGATAGTTTATAGGAGATTCGAACCCCCGATACCACGATACTGTGGTTCGTCGTGGGGTGCTAAAAAACCAGACCAACGCGGTCAACCCAACCCAATCCAAAGCAACTCGATGTCTAATCGAGTTGTAAAATTTTCAAACCGTAGGTATTGAGTTGATATTGAGTTACTATTATTTGAACCCAACATGACCCGATAAACCCGATATTCTTGTTTTTCTTGTATTTAATATGATTGTTGAGCTTTTTCTTTTATTAATGGATACATTAAATAATTATACTATCACGTACCCTCTTCATATACACATATTTTTAATTTATTTTACATCTCTATATAACTCATTCATATATATGTTCAGTAACTGTGAACATATATATGTAAATTGAGAAAATTAGTTGAATGTGATATATGTAAGTTTATAAAGTATGGATAAGTTGTATCAAATGGTTGATAATGAAAAATAAATTATGAGTAGAGAAATAACATATTCGAAGTATATCAACCCAACCAACCTGTACGGTTTGATTTGGGTTGGATTGGGATAAGATTTTCAAACCGCAAGCATTTGGTTGAGTTGTTCAAATGTCTTCAATCCGATCAACTCAACCCATAAACACCCTTAGTTCGTAGCCACATGCTCTAATCCTCTAAGCTACAAGCCCCACACAGGGACCAGGAGATTAGATTTAGCTGTAAGAAGAATGTTTGGTATAAATAACTCACTTCTTGGTTTTCGACATTATTGAAGAGGTTAAAAAAGTCAAACGAATTTTCTGTTTTAATTAACTGGGTTCTTAAGCTATTTTTTGAATGAATAAATAAAAAAACATAAAAATGACAGATAATGAAATGAGGATTAATTTTTATGTCCCCAGTTTAACCTAAAATGAAAGTTTAGGTTTATGAGGGAATGAACCTATTTATTATACAATAAAACAGTTTTTTATTTTATTTTCATTGATTACTGCTTAATAATTATAACCAGATGCCCCGTAAGTGCATATGATTAATAAGTTTGTTTTATTCAGATATGATTCATACTGTTTCATATTTTATTCTTCTACGTATTTCGTATATAAACCTTTTATTTGTTTTTCCTATACATAAATGTATTCTCCCTCGGTCTCATACCATTGGTGCAACGACTGCAAATGGCATGCATATAGTAAATGTAGCGTATCAAACTCAAGGTAACAAACTGACTTAGATAATATTCAAGATAATTTAAAATTTTATAATTGAAGCTATCAGTATTCACATTTGAGCTTCTAAAAAGCTGATAAATCTACTTTTCTATTCATGTAGGATAAGTTGTTATAAACTAATTCACTTAGATTCCTGACTGTCTTACCTATCTTAAAAATATTATTGTAACCGACAATGTGGGATTGGTTTAAGATGTTTGAAAAATTTTAAGTTAACCCAACCCAAATAAAAGTACAACTCAACCCAACTCAAACTGTACGGGTTGGTCAGGTTGATAAATTGGTAAATTAAAATATTATTCTAACCTTGAATATGTTCTTTATTCTTATTCGTAATTTATTTTTCATCATTAATCATTTAATACAACTTATCCATGCTTCCTAAATCTTACGTATGTCACATTTAATTAATTTTTTTAATTTACATATATATGTTTACAGTTACTGAACATATATACGAATGAGTTACATAGAGATGGATAATAGATTGAAAATATGTGTATATGAAGAGAGTACGTGATAATGTAATTGTCATATATATATATATATATATTAATAGAAAATCATATTAAATCCAAAGAATACAAAGATATCGGATTCATCAGGTTGAGTTAGGTTCAAATAATAGTAACCCAGTTATAACACAATACCTACGATTTGAAAATTTTACAACTCGATTACTCGATTAGACTTCAAATACAATACTAATATATAAGTTTTAAGAAGTTAGATAAAAATAAAAGAAAATAACAAAGCAAAATAAAGACGTTACTCAAACAAGAAATACCAAATTAACGACCTAATTGAACTAAACAGACCGGTGACTTCTTAACAGGTTCGGATTCAGCACTGAGTTGAATGATGATGATGCGTTTTTGCTGTCCATCTCGTGACACATCGGATCGTTTTTCTGACCGATGCTTCAACTGGTTTCCTTGTCTCTCCGATCCCGGTAATGTTTAGAATCTTCTGTTATGCGGATATGTTTATAGTTTGTGTATGGTTTTGTACATAAACGATGGTTTCTCAGAGGATTTGTGTTTTTGTGTGTGTGATTTTGGTTGCAGCTAGAAGAACTACGTTGCGTTTGCAACTGACGCTGGTGATGGTGCATTTTGTTTTTATCGGTTTCATATTCATTTTCGACAGTGAATTTATTAAGAAATTGAAAAGACAGCCTTGGTAAGCACTCATATACTTCGTTACATGTTCTTAGCAAAGAAGGGTTATTTGGTAATTGATGGTTGATTCGGTTGTTATGGACTTAGGAAACTAGTTGTTGCTCTTAACAGTAGTTATGAGGATTATGCGTGGTAGTTAGCCAATTAAGTCAGATATTCGGTGTGTTTGGTTGGAATCTGAAACAGCTGGTAACAGTGGAAGTGATTAAGCAAATTTTGTATCAAACCTAGAAGATAGGATTTCTATTTTTTAGTCGATCCAAAAGGAGAGATGAGTAATTGCCATAGAAAGAGTTACTCCTGTAAAAGTATACCAACAAATGCATGAGGTTCCCATTTGCTATTTATACGTCATTGTTCATTATAGCTATCAGGGATCCACCGCCATGCTTCTTAAATTGCCACTCTGGATATGCCTGGGAACATAGAGCTTTTGATGCCGATGGTCGTCCTTTAGAACTATTACATGAGAACAATATGATTGTATACTGCCTTTATGGTTATTTACCCTGATGGGGTGCTACCACCTCGTACCAGTAGTTTGATGTTAATCTTGATCACTTAACTCAGTTGCTCTTTTCCATATATGGCATTTCTACCAGAATCTAGCATTAGGAATTTCTCTTTTCGATCTAAATGAAATGGAGCATCACTTGGTTTATATATATTTGCATCTTTTAAAATCATGCAGTATGACACTTTAGCTAAATTCCCTTCTGTTATGGAGTCAATAATTTGCTAATCATTCACTGTGAATATGCCATGTAGAGCTGTTTACTCCTTGATCTGCTAAACTCTTTTAAAGCATATTCATTTTTCGTGATCAATTTTATATAATATATCAGTGATTTGTTTAAATGAAAGCCTGATTGGTTCTAGCATTTGACTTCAGTTGACCTTATTTAAAAAGCCACCAGAGTAGGCAAAAGCAATGTGTAAAGTAACAACATGCTTAGAATGATGTGGAACCGAAAGTTGTTGATGTGAAGAATACCTTGCCTGAGACCATGTTTGGTCTTATGTACGTAATTGGTTTAGGCATATAAAGAGGATAGTGTTGATAAAAGGACAAAAAACTTTCCTTGCTCCAACCTTTTGCTTTCAGGGACCACCAAGTAGTATTGTTTCAAAAAGAATTCATAGCAATCCTCATAGTTTTGGAACAACATGAGTTATGAGGGTGAGTGGTTTGGGAAGCAAGTTTCTCATCTGTTAAATCTTAGGTGCATGTTCTGTGTTAAACGATTACTGCTTTTCCTGCCACCGTTTATTGGAAGTTGAAGTTTTATAGTAACATCTCAACAATCAAATCTGCATTTTACTGCATAATCTGTTTCTAGCATTTTCTTAAGGCTTAGTAAGAAGCCTTTGTCAAGGAGGCTTTGAGGCAAGAGCTGCATAAGAATTTCCATATCAAATTGCGTTGCACAAGATGTGAATTTGACATTTAGATTTGTACATTTAATTCGAGTAATATATGCCAAGTGGCATTCAAAAGTGTACTGTAAAAACCAATCACACAAGACACTTCCTAATGAAGTATTTATCCATGTTCCTTTGCAGTGTTTAACAGGAAAGAGGAAACTAAAGGAACTATCATTTCAACTCTCTGTTATTTCTTTACTCCCCATGTTTTCCACTAAATTCACTCGTCTCGTGATTTTATCTCTCATTCTTTTACTACCTTCTAATGATTCTCTCGAAGCCTCTCTCCTGCAGGTACACATTGGTCTATTTGTTGTTATTTGTTGCTACACTAGTTCAGTATTTTATTACATGTGGTTCTTCTCCTGGGTAAGTAATGATAAGCATTGGAACATATTTTATGAAGTTATTTTCTGAAAAAATTATGCTGACTTGCATTACATTAAATTAGCATTCTGTATAACAGTCATGTATGTGTTTAGGTATGTGCTTGACGCAATGAAAGATTTTGCTAGGGCAGATGCCTCATTAAGGGCGTCAGAGATCTCAGTGTAAGCACCCTTTTTTATTGATTTGTCTTTAAATTGGAAAATTTTACAGGTAAGAATGTACTGCTATATGGTTCCATAAAAGAAGTGAGTTAACCCCTGCATGTACTTTTAGAGGATGATATCTGCATCTGTGTTTCTGAATAAAGCACATTATCTAATAGTTGCTCGTTCTTCCTGTATTTATGTATGATAAAGCGAAGAAAACCTGCTTCAAGCAAAAATGACACTGTAGTTGTGATGTTGGACAGAGACCATCTGGGTGAAACCATTTCAGGGGATAATGGGACGAACTGGACAAAGCTGGTGATGGGCATGTATCGTCATGGAACATCTGTCAGGTAATTAACTCAATTGTTTTAATTGGCCAATGATAACTGTGCTTTTCTTGGTTCCTGCATTCTTTTGTGTGTATTTGTATCTGTTTATTATGTTTAAAATATTCTAGTATATTGCAATGTAGTGTCTGGGATTCATGGATGAGGGATGGAGAGGGGGAATCAATAAGTAATAAATCACAGCCTGCTGTATATCCAAAACGAACACCTGACCTCTACATTATGTGAAGTGGTGGTGCCACAACACTAAATGGCCACTTGCTTGTATGTGTTATTTAAATTTGTGCAAGCTATATTACCTTTCCTGTCACTATTGGATAGGTATCTGCATGTGAGATGTGACTAATTGTTCCTCCATGATTGTCCTGTATTCTTCATGCATAATCAATATTTTGTTGTATGTCCCCCACATTAAATATATCCACTTGGCTGTGATGGATATAGAATATTCATTCGAGGCTAAAATGAGGCCAGCAATCTGTTTCTTGATGAAAGAAAAACTATAATTAGTCTGTTGGGCAATGGCACATGAGTAGTTGAGATTGAACTCTATATTGCCCTTAAGAGATGAAAGCAAAAGTTGAGACCAAGTGCATGAAAATTCGAGGTTGTTGGGCAAGTCTTGCCAATTTGGTAAATTTTAGCAGGTACTTGAATGAAGATGTAATTATGCACAAGAGTAAGCACAAAAGGAATTGTTTGGAGCTTCTCTGAGCTAATTGGTTTACTGGCTCTCTGCTGCATATATTGTTCTTGGGAATAAGGACTAGCAAAAAGGGAAGGTGAAATCTAGGTAAGTAAAGATGGAGAACACTTACAGTTGTGAAATTATGGAGTTTTAGAACAAAATTGAGTTGCATAATGCTATAACATAACTGTGGGATGAAGATAAGTCGTTTAATTGCCTATGTTATTTACGGAATCTGGTTCTTTTGGGATTATAGTTGATGGTTTATTTTGAATTCCATCTAGAAGTCATCATGAATGCTTATTATTGAGTTCCTGTCATTTCTTAATTTTGGGAATTGATTATGATGGACTAGAGAATCTAGGCAAGATTTTGTGGACATTATTCATGTTCATTGAAGTCATCAAACAAGGTATTTAATTTACTTGAGTATGTTGATCATTGCAAAATCCGGGCTTGGCCTGGAGATATTCTAGAAACTGAGCTGCATTTGGCATTGCATTGTAGTGTCAGAATCTGGTTATTGCAGATTTATGTTTTTTTGCTGGAAGTTAGCTGTGTAAATATATTTATATAGTTTGAGCTGATGTCCAGTATGATGCTTATTGAGAGAAAAATAGAAGAAGCTATCCCCTAGAAATTTCTGATGTATATTGTCACACCTTATAGGGACAGAATTGCCCTGATTTTGCCGAGGTCTATGGTTATCTCTTGGAAAATATACTCTTTGCGGGTCGAGCCTATCAAGAAATGACCTTCTATTACTTCTAAAATTAATCTTTTCTAGGGGCCTGGCTTATGTAACTACTTATGCTGTTTCAATTTTCTAGAGAACTTTAAACTGTAGACTATTAGGTTGATTCACTTGATAAGAGAAGTTTCTTTCTAGACTTGTATCTAAAAGCATTGAAACCAAGATCACTGTTTTTAGTTCATGTTTGTTCGTTATGCCATAGAAATACAATCAAGCCTCAAAGTTTTTCTTGATTAAATCCTGGGATAATCAATCAAATACAGTGGGAGTCATTATTTAGTAAATATTTTGATTATACCATGTGGAAATAAGATTACACAAAAGAAGATTCCTTGCGTGATAGCTTCTGTATGTTTTTCAGGTCTTGCACGTGTTCTTGCTGTAACGTTGTGCAGGTATCTCTCTTGTTTGTATCTTTCTTCTTTTACATTATTGATTCAATTGAAGAAATACTCCTATAGGTAGAGGAAATGTTTGCGTACATCCTACCCTCCCCAACCCCTACTTCCAAGTGGGATATACCGGATACGTGAGGTTTATGCAGTTGGGATATCTCAACTACGTTATGACCAAGATTCTTATATTCTCATTGTTGTTGTGGCAATTAGTCAAATATGATCAACATGGGAATATATTATTACTTCTTATGATGAGATTTTCTCACCTTTGGGGCCCTTTTGCATGCTAGTGGTGGGACATTGATATGAACATACTTCGAGTAACTCCATAAAGTGTCATTCTAGTATAGAATGATAATAAATCCAACACTCGTGGTAAAGAGCTGATTTACTGAAATCCAACACCCCACAGGAGAAACAACCATATATAATCATCAGAAGCCATGTCCATATTTTTTTTCCATTTACAATTATGCTCGAGTGTGAACAAGGCCAAATCTCAACCTTATTTATCCTTAAAAAGTGGGCCTTTACCTAGAATGTTATCCCGGAAAGGCAGTATTGAAAAGCTATGCTGAAACTTAGTATTTTTATCCACTTGCAATTTCTAGTCACGTGTCTCCATTTGTTGGTTTTCTGTAGCAATATTACTCCTTGAAGACATACACACTTGATGTCCCTCATTGTTTATCAACAAAAAAGAACAATTTTTTTTTCTACTTCCAATATTTTTAAGAAAAGCTTTCTTGAGAAAATAGGAAAATAATTAAAAAATTAAGTTGGTCAAAAGTTTGAAGACCTTCGATTCATCTCCTGCATTCGACATGATAAAGATACTTAGCCCCCGTCCTGCTTAAGAACACTCTTTAAGATGGAGAAGTGCTACCAGCTGATGAACTTAGGAGGAAGGTCCCTACTCCCGAGGAACTTGTCGCTAGATGCATCCCCTTAAATGAGGTCTATCAACTCTGCATTCTGGAACAGCTTTCAATGTTCCTCAGCGGAGAATTATCTCAGGAAGCTTTGATTTCATATAGATTACAAATGACTGTCAATGGCATAAATTACAATCATGCAATATAAGAATCAACATATAAGGGAGGGGATTTTCAGGTGGAGACTAATATCATTGTATGTCGTATATACATGTGTATCTGTGCATATATCTAGAAGTGAGATTGTTGACGAGCACAATCAGCGTACTTCATCACAGGAAAGAAGCACTCATTGAAGCATTGGCATCTTTTTCTTGCTGGTCACAGCGCTTTCTCTGTTTGTGTTAAGTAGTTAACAGATCCAAAAATGTGTCTCCAAGTTTATGGAATTAGAAATATTCCTCCTAAAGTCCCAAGTACTCTTTGGAAGAGTATCATAACTATCCCCATTGTATTCCAACCTGTGGACACACTTGAAATAAGTTCAATTGCATAGTCAACTGGAGGTGAGTTGGTTTTAGATAACAATTTTTTTATAAGCAAAACCTGGAATTATAACTATGATGATAGTCTGAGTGTAACTTTATTGCAGCCTCCAAGAGCAGCACATTGTCATGATTGCGACAAGTGTGTTCTTCAGTTTGATCACCATTGCGTTTGGCTGGGAACATGCATAGGACAGGGCAACCATTGTCAGTTTTGGTGTGTACATCTTTTTGATTTATAATTCGTACATTTGTTCTTGCATCTCCCTCTTTCCTTATATATAGTAATTGGTACTTCTTAGTTTCTTGGCATATATCGAGTTTGTTAGGACACTTATACTAGCATATTGAGTCTCAATGGCAGTACTGTTTTGTTTCATCATACAGTCCTAGTTAAACTTGTTATATTTATATTACTTCTATAGCATACCTAAAGCCAATTAAAGTGCCAATGTTTTCATTTAGTATTGCTTTGACACACTTAGTACTATCTCAAATGATAACACTGAACATTATATGAAGTTGAATGGCATGCCGTTATGAGATCATGCCAAACATATTTCATTTCGAACTTTCAGATTTGAAGTTAAGAGTTCTTCTTTATTGTGTCCTCAACTAATGGTATGAATATCATACTTATTGACATGGATTTTTTACTCCTCAATCCTTCTCCCTATGAAAACAATCCTTGCCAGAAGATGTCTTATGTCATGTTTGGCCAATTTGATGTATGGATATAGAACTTCATATGGGGCCCACTGAGCTGACCTTTTACATAAGTAGACATCTTATCTTCGGTTATCACAATCCTGCCCCAGCAGTTGACCAAATGATAAATTCTACGGAGAAAAAGATGGAAAAGAAAGATGCAAATGTGCATGAAAACTTCCTAATCTTGCTATTCCAACTATAACATTTTCTTTTGATCTCAAATTGAGCACCTTCTAGTTCATTATAATTCATCCAAACTCGATTCATTGTTGATTGCTCTTTGTGACTGCTATATGAGATCATGTTCTTTGGGGTTACAATCCTAGTCAGATTGAGTAATTGATCCACTGATTATCAAGAAGTAGAAGGCGAAAGATGGAGCCAGAAGCTTCTGTTCCTTTCATTTATTATCAAAACATCTTAATACAAAAGAAGAACAATGCACTATATACAAAAGCAAGAAAGACCAAATGATATAACATACACCTGAACAATGGGAAATGACAAAAGATATATAACTCTCAACACTTTGATTGTTTTTAAAAGCATATTACCCACTGACCTGAGTGAACATATATTTCTTTAGCGAAGTTTAGAGTTTTTCCACAGTTTCTTCTGGTCTAGCATCCCACATGCTACAATTTGGTTTTTGCTCAAAATATAAGGCTTACTAATTAGAGCATTAGGGAACTAGCTCTAATCAGGAAGAAAGATGATCTTGTATATACATGAGTGGCTCTTTAATATGAATCACTGCTGAAATTTGTGGTTGGAAAGCAAAAACTCTCCATTCTCAAGTAGTGGTTCATTTTCAGTTTTCCCTAAACACCCTAAATGCAACATTCCTTATTTTCAGGATAAGTCTGGTTAGTGCAGCTTGTCACCTAAAACTGACAATCATCATGAAATCAAGATCTTGTTTTCGCAGCCCCAAATTTATCTCATGACTGTTGATATATGTGCCACGTTCATTTAATCTAGATGTTATGCTAATAATAGGACGTGTTGTGGCACTTGCTAATGTAGATTTAGAGTAAGCATGTACTTATCATCGTCTTTATCATCAAGTTTAGTTTGGTATCACACCTAGAGAGTACCAAGGCTACTCGAGGGCCAATAGACTCCAACGTTGCCCTGGGTTTTAGAAAACCTCGAACTTTTCCATGTAATGTTTTAGTCATTTGACTTCAAATTTCTTTGTATGAAAATACCTGCTTTAAGGAAAAGTTCATTATGCAACTTCAGCTATGTGATTCAGATGATGGTTTCGCTCAAAAACTTTTAGCAAGCTAACCACATTCTATATGACCACATGCAATTACCTTTCTGGTTAATAACTTACAGCTATCAAGATTATAAACATATAATGCACTGAATTTAATTTGATCAGATCAAGCTGTTTCCTGTGTAGAAATCTTTATGTCAACTGTGAATTATATGAATGGAAACAAAAGGATATTGCCTCTAATTTCTGTTTTTACCTTGAAGGAAGGAACTTATGTAACAATATTTTCTTTGGGTAATGATTGACAGGTGGTACCTATTTGAGGAGACCGCTTTATGCATCTGGACTGGCATCTGGTATATGGAGTTCCTACAAGATTATATTAGAGAAGCATGGTATGTTGTTGACAGAAAAAAAACAAGCTTTTGGGATATATAAATTTTAGTAATTCCTATTTTGTGTACTCATTTTTCATCTGATTCTTATTGAATTGGAGTCGGATCATGATCAATTTCATTTCTTTCAGGTTGATTGATGTGATCATAATCATAATGCTAGTTGTATTGTCAATTTCACTGATGTTTCTACTTCTCCTCCTCATATTCCATAGGTGAGTACTTCATGTTGAAACATCCATCTATTCGTTTATGCCACATCTTTAGGAAAACAATACAATTGTAGCCATTGAAAATCAGTCTGTAGATTGTCATTAAATGTTTTTGTGCAGACCAATATTATCTGCTTAACTTTTGTCAATCTTTAATTAATTTTCTCCTGATCCTAAAATGTTTGAAGTTAAAATTTCAGGTTGGTAACCTTCTATAGTATGACAAAGAATCTATTAGTTTAGTGGTGATATGCCTAAAGCAGGAACTGTATACATGATGGCCAAAAAAAATTCTTGTGGGATATTCAGTTAGATAGAAATTTAGAGAGTAGATGGGTGCTGGATCATATGCAGAAATAATTCTAAATGTGGAGGTTTCTGTTTCGTCTTGTCAAAAATTAGTGATTAGGTTGCGTAGAGGAGTGACTGGTTGGACCCTGGGGTTCTTTATGCTAGGTGGGAACTTGATGCCAGTTGCTGTTCCCATATGTTCTACATTTATTAAACATGAAATGCCGACCACTAAATCTTTTGCATGGAAAATTGACAGCTTGTTCAAAAACTCAGCTTAAATTATTTGAGGAAATAAAAACTGAGTGAACATGACTGAGACCTTAGCTGCACGATTTATTGGAATGGATGATTGTTCAATATGATTTGGCTGAGGTTAAGCATGTGCTAATCGTAGAGGTTAGTGCTAGACAAAATCAATACCAAAAAGATATTGAAGTGCGGCATTTCCTTTTAGCAAGAATGAATATTGGATGGGAACTAGACCTTTAATGTTAAGATATTGAACTAGACAAAATCAATACCAAAAACAAATGACAATATATGCTCAAACAAAAATATGGACGTCTTGTATCTGCTAGGAGCTGCATAATGTGGGGCCCAATAGTCCATTGATTGGTTACATAGTCATTTCATGAAGTGCTACATGTCTTCTTTCTAGTTACTTCGCTAAGTAAGTTGTATAATTCTCCCTTCTGCTGAAGTTTAGATGCATATTCCTGGCCAAACCATATAAAGATCGGGAGAGGAATATGCATTTGTAAATGAGAGCTCTAGCTTGTAGATCTCGTACACCCTTTTATTAGCAGAAGCTTAGTGAATTTATATTATAGACAAGGAAATCAATTTCACTGCATCAGTGAAAGGCATGAAAAAGGAAGGCTGTATATACCCAAGTCATCCCAAAATTGAAGAGGTGATCTCATGGCTATTTGGTTCCCGTTTCTTGCATGTGGATAGTCCATTAATACATTTGTTCAGGAAGTCGTCGTTTCTTAGTTCAACTTATCAACAGATGTGGAAAAACTAAATTATTGCCCAGAAAAGACTAGTATAGCTAAAACTCCTGCAACCCTGCATTTTTGTTTAAATCACAATGATTCCCCCATCCTTTGGCGAATTTATGATCAATTTTCATTAAACAGCTTGTAGGGGATCTCAGTACGATTTTTGGAAAGTTTGCTAGAAGGGGGGGGGGGGGGGGTCATTGATTTATAGATAAACGAGGGGGTGGTAGTTTACATTTCCTTTTGAAAGGGTCCTATACACACTTTACCAGATAGAAAAAGAGAAGAAAATAATATGTAGCAGTTATAGGTAGTATGCTCCATGCATTACTTCAAACAGTATTTGGCTTGGGTTTGCTCTATGTTTTGTTGTGCTCTTTTTTCTTTCAATCTTTGTAATATTTTTCATAAGGGCATTAAAATAGTCAAACCCTAGACCTCAGAGATTCTATGAAGCTAAGAACTAGTAGATTGCTGTTCATGCATGTAGGTCACTGAAAGCGGGAAAGGGTGAGAGCTGGAGCGGCTTGTGAGAATAATTTGACCATACAGTCCAGATATTACCCCTCGGGCTTCTGGGAATCATATAAATGTGAGGTCTATTGCAACATTTCTTCTTTGGGAAACATTTGGTTAATGATACATATTTTTTCCATCTTCATCATTACAAGATCTTTATGGTAGTGTTTTTGGTTCACATGATTCGTTCTATTTAGTTTTTATTGTATGATTATACATATTAACAATCAGTTAGGTGACATGTAAAACCTTTAATAATATCGATTTGGTGCTGAACTTCCCCTGTGAACTGCTGCACTGAATCGAGAAAGGACACGTTATCCATTTTCTTCACACACTTTGCATTAGTTGGGGGTCTTCACAGAAACAACCGCTCTACCTTTTGGGGGTGGAGGGTCAGGTCTGCCTACATCTAAACCCCTCCAAGCTTCGGGTGGATATATTTTCTTGTATTTTGGCATGTTTTAAAAGCTCAGGGATTTGGTTACCTTTCATGAATTTGAGCTTGTGCCTGTTAATCATTAGCACTTGTCTTGACAAGGTATTCAACTAGATTTCACTCTCTATTTTCATTTGTAGTTATCTAATCGTCACAAATCAAACCACCCATGAGCTGGTGAGACGAAGGCGTATAGCATACATGAGGTCAGTTAAATTATATTGTGCTTTCATGTCACTGTTTTATGTATTTTAAAAGAAAAGTAGATTGAATACATGAAACCACTTGGTAATATGTATGTTGCTTCTAGGTAAAACCCAAAGAAATGTTTCAATGCTTTTCTATCAAAGGTGTTGTTAGGGAAAATCATTCATAACCAGGTTAAGCGAAATGTTAATGTTCATTTTTGTTTTATGGGTCTCACCAAGAACTAAAAAGAGAAGAATGAAGATTAGACTTGGAAATGTAAAATGGTGTAACAAGGTTTTAAAAGGCAGAATCAGGCCTCGAGGCGTTTTCCCTCAACGAGGCGGTCTGAAGCGTAAGGCCCGAGGCAGAAGGGGGGAATATATATACACCAAAATATGTATATACTACACAAATATATATATATATACAATATATATAATATTAAATTATTAAGGCGTGAGTTCACTGGTTCTTGACACAGGAAAAATTGAAACTGTGAGGTAGGCTGAGAAGGTGTGAGAAATTGGTTGTTTGGAGGAAGAGAAAGGGTTTTAAAATATTAAAAATACAAATTGGGGTCATTGGGCTTTGACTTTTAGTTTTTTATATAAAAAAGACACTTGTACTATAAACAGAAGTACGAACTATGCCATAAAGCTTAAATGGGATTTTGGGTTGTTTTAGTCTCTTTCAAACAGCAACTTTTCCACCATTTCTGTAAAAAAGCCAAAAAACCATTTTCAAAGCAAATCATGTAAGGCCTAATAAGCCTCGACAACGCCTTACTCCTCACTGAACCAAGGTGTAAGCCTCGTCCAGGGTCCAAGAGGCGCTGCCTCGCCTCGAGGCGTAAGCCTTAAACGATTTTTAAAACCATGGTGTAAACAAATGTTGTTATAATACCCATAGCACAGTCACTTTTACTTGCCTATATTTTGGAACTTATACCACAAACGTTTGTAAGTGATTATATACTTTAATATTTATTTGCAGATCGATTCCTGAAAGGGTATATCCGTTCAGTAAAGGCGTGTGCAGAAACTTGTACCGTTTTTGCTGTGCAAGATCGAGCATATACAGAATGGAAGCATTACCGAGTGCAGAAGAAGTAGCTCAAATGTCGATACCCTATTCATGTTTTGATGTTTTATCTTGTAGATGTTGCTGACCGACTATTCATCGTGTTGTGACCTGACCACATTGTTGTTTTGTTAGCATAAATACATCATTAATTACAGTAGACATTCTTCTATGACTTCTATGAGTGAAATGAATGTATAGATGGAAAAAGAATGGATTGAGCCAAATGCAGAATTTGCATGCATCTTTTGTTATTGAATTGCATTTCTTTGGATCTGTTCCTTTTACCTCCATTCGATGAGAAAACGGATCTACTTTTGGAATAGTATTTGCAATAGGATTGATGAAACTGTTACATAGACAGAAATTGTTGTGATGGTGGGAGAACGAAAAATGGCAAAATCTTGCAGTTGTAGATGCTGAATAATGGTCATTTGCCGCGAATCTGGATGGGGAAGATGGTGATTTTCCGTCTAGGAGCATCCATAGCCTGTGTTGGGCTTAATGTGAGCACGGCGACTCGATCATCGTCTCCATGGTCGGTGCCTTCTGTTAGTGGCTTCAGTTCAAATGCACCCCTAGTTAAACCTCTAGCAACCTGATGAATCAAAATGGTTCATGAATATGTCTATCAGACAAAGAATGGACATAAATAGGTCCAAAGTGAACCTAAAAAGTTTCTAAAGGGAACCACAAGGGTGGTGACTGATTGGTTTGAGCTTGGCTCCAAAGGTCAAAAGTACCAGGAGGTCCCAGATTCAAATCCAATGAGGAATAAAAATCCCCTTGTGGCCACAGAGGTTCAAATGCGGTGACTCTGGGCTATCCGCAAAGCAGATGGTTGCCGTGGAATTAGTCGGCTCGCATAGCGGGTTGGATATCCAGGTTAATAAAAAAAATAGTTTCTAAAGGGCATGTTCATTTGAGGTATCAAATATTCATAATGAATATCATGATAGAGACTAGCATCATATAATACCATAAATGCAGTTTTGTATAGTTTGAGGTCGATCTCGTATGTACCTTCAGCAAAATCCATACTTTAAGGGAACTGCTCAGGATCCCTATTCTTGTCCTCTTACCAGACGTCAGGTAACTACACATGTACCTATCAACCCTTAGAATGAACTTTGGCCAAGATTTGGGGCTTCCAAGATTTGGTCGCTCCATTAATGCCTAAAACATGCGCAAAAAGTACGATGATCAAGTCAAATAAATTATTTGACATGGAAAAGAAAAAGACGTCACCAAGAGTATACGAGCAATAAATTAAACAACATATAGAAGTTTATTCGATATATTTACATTAAAAGTCTTGCAAATTAGAACAACAAAACCCCATAAAATGACAAAGTAACATATAAAATTCATTTAAATAGAATCATTCTTTGAAGCCGGAATTGGGAATTGCCAAGTTGGCTAAAAGAGCAAAAACTTAGAACATTATTACTGGACTAGAACATGTATAATTATGCTAAAAAGGTTCAAATGTATATAATTGGGTAAAGGCTAAAACATGTATAATTGATGCCGGAAACTTTTGGTGGCCCTGTCCAATGTCTCACGTTGGAACACTCTCAGACATGACCCTGAGGAAGGGCACTAAAATGTAGTTTATATGAAATAGAGCAAAAAGAAAATCATATATTTACTAATATCCTGATTACTTCACCATTGAGGATTTTGGCATTTCAGGTTTTGAGCATATTGGCATAAGAGTATATGCATAAGGAAGAATTACTCACAAGCAATCGACAAATTCCGTGCTCAATTTTAGAAAACGAAGTCTCCAATGCTTCGACTCTCCCAGTAGCTTGGCAACAAGAACATGGTTCACTGATCATGAACGTCACACTAGGTCGCACCTGTCAAGAGTTCCAAAGAGATTTTTTTAAGATAGTAATTGCACAATTGATGATAAGTAGACCGGCAATGTTAATCAGTCAAGCACCTTCTCCAGTCCCGTTTTCAGAGATATTTTTGGGACATCGCGATGCAATCTCGTTTCCCATTTGTTTTTATTTAAGATTTATCTGAAACTGGAAGCTACAAGTGACGGTCTTAATAGAAAGTTCATACCCTCTTTCTGGTGATCTCCATCAGTCCATGCCTAGAGAGTTCAGAGATTTTCACCATTGAACGGTCTCTGTCAACTGCTTTTCTAACTTCTTCATAGACCAATCGTTTATTTGCTAAAGGAAGATATCACGAAAAGAGATGAAATGAAACATGTTTCATAAGGTTGTTCTAATTACAGTTTATGAAGGTACGGAGTCTTCATTAGGAATCATGAGAACCACCTTATCTAATAGAACATATTAATAAACAAAAAGACCATGCCTACTTAAAGAACATCTATCAGAATTAACAAAAAATTCATGGTTACTCTAAACCCTAAACAAGAATGAGATGAGCTCAACACTTAACTACCAAAATCACTAGTAAATCTTAAACAAAACAGAAAAATAATGTTGGTAATTGTTTTGAAAGAGCAGGAATATCTAACACGCAAAGAGAGACTTACATTCATCCAGCATATCAATGAAATCCACCACAATAATGCCACCAATATCTCTCAGTCGTATTTCCCTAGCAATCTGAAATCAGTCAGCATTCCACTCTTAAGCATTTCTAATATAAAAAGCATAATAGTATTTTCGAGTTGAAACCACATTAGGTTACAGCACGGTAAGCAAAGAAAACCTTCACCACAACCAAAACTTCTCAGGCCATCTTCATTTACAACATTTTCAGATTTTGTTCCTTTTGTTCATTAACTATTTGCATAATATGAAACTTGTTACACTGGAAATCCCTTGCGACCGTTTATAGGAAGATTTAAGAAGCTACAAATGCAAAAATGAAGTTGTAGACGAATATATCCGTAGTGTTTGGGTTGTTTATTACAAGGAAAAGGAAGAGGGAAATCCCTTCCATGAGCATTGTTTTCAGCTGAATCCAAGTGAAAGAGAAAACTAAAAAACCTTGGGTCTGTTTGGTACGTGGACAGGACGAGACATGACAGAACAAAAACTTGTTGTCCTACGTTTGGCACGACAATTAGAGTATGACAATTAGAGTGGGACAAGATAGGTAAATTACTAAACTACCCATGTCAAATTAAAACCTTAAAGCCTTCCACAATTCTTTCACCTGTCTACCTCAATCTTACCAGTCCTGTTCCTGTCCACTACTAAACACACCCTAGAAACACCAAGTCACATACAATTCGATTACCCTACAACAATGACGACTTAAGTTGCTAGTTTCTGGCTATGTTGTCTATGTACAATTCCATCATTGAAGCATAAATAGATGATCCATCAGACACCTTTTCAATTAATTACATCAAAGATTGACTATGTGTGAATTAGGAAATCTATGTGCACATACATTTATAATCTATATCTCATGTTTCTCAAATTAAAATGGTGATGGGATTTGGCTTCAACGTACTTGTTTAGCAGCTGCAAGGTTGACTTCTAAGATAGCTTTCTCCTGTGAAGTCCCATGACCAAGCATACACTGCCCTCCATTCACATCAACAGATACTAAAGCCTCGGTTTGTTCTATCACTAGATAACCTCCATTAGATAGTGGTACTCTACAAAAGAAAAAGATCTATTCAACTCAAGTGGTTTCAATGGTAAATAAATCAGATGGTATGCGATATTGAAGAATGGAAATGTGGAAAATTACATTAGAACTTTGACGTTAAACATAAATATGTTCCTCTTATAAACGCACTGACTATTCCAGTTAACTATGCATCAGCTCAAGCCATATCATGTGTGCACATAAAAAATAAATAAATTTAAATTAATTAAAAAAGCAAGGGGAGAGAAATAAGTTGAAGGATGTACACAACAATCACACCACTAGATTCTGGTCTTATGGATAGAGCTTACAGAAATAAGTTTCTGGCCACATTATTATTCAACTACTAACAAGATCTAAACTTTATACCCACATTTTGCTGCCTTCCAGAACTCGTTGGACATCCTTCATATGATATTCTTAGAGCTTAATTGCTTGTTTGTTTCAGTTCTATGTTGTTTAGATTTGATTTTTTGGTCAACTTGATTGTAGTTTCATTAATTTTTAGGTTGTCTCGAGATTAGGGTTCTTTTGCATGCAAGATGGAGAAAATGCAGGAGTATTACAATTTTACCCCTTTAACAAATGTCAAGTTGGGTGGTTTCTGTAACCCAAGAATTTGTCTAGTGATCAAACCTGGGAATCAAATCTTGAATGGCAAAAGTTACAATTGCGGCATAGTCTGGTTGCAACCATCGTACTTTACTCAAAGAATTAAAAAGCTGGGAAATGCCTAACCATTTTCTGGATTTTAATAGGTTTTAGAGTTGCATAGTTATAAAAGGGGATGCAATTACATCAAATGCTTCAAGGAAATGATAACAAACAAGAGTGCTTATACAAACTGCTTCTCACCTTTTACTAAGCATGTTGTTCAATTCTTCTTCAATTTCATATTCATCAAATAGTGGATTCTTTTTGCTGTATAATTCAACTCGATCACATAGATCAGGATCTATTTCCTGAAGATAGTTTGTAACCTGAACATAAATCACAGCAAACATGAAGATTCTATCATTTAATCCAAATTGTACCCTCCAAAATGACTTGATGTTTGCATTCAAGTATGATGATCCTATAGTAAAACACCAAAAAGAGGATGGGGAACTTTGAACTGTTTATGTGTGTATCGTTTATGGCAAACCAAACCAGAAAATACAAAAAATAGAGACCTTTGCCTTCATCCTAGCAGGGGACTCCTAGCTCTACTATTCTACAGGGAGGTGCTTGTTCTTATATATAAACTGCTTTCACCTCTGCTTAGCCTTTTTTAGCAAACTTAGATGGATGCTTTACAACAACATACCTCTAATAGAGAAAAGAATTGTCCTCTTTCCTAGCTGGCCAAGCAAGTAGAAGGATAGCCATGAGATCCAAGTTTCTTGCACTCCCAGGTTTTCAGCACAAGATCTTTTCTAAAAGTCCATTCACAGTAATACAATGTCTACATGGATGTAGATAGTACACAAGATAAAAAGCACTAAAATCAAGGTAAATATGTAATAATATAACAATGTACCATAGATCTACTTTCGTTGCTTCTACCTTTAGGATAACTATATGCACTAGCAAAAACAAAGAACCCCATAAATAGGGGAAATAAAACACGACGTTGTTGGAAAATATATCACTTCAAACACCAATGTTATTGGGACAATATCCCACCAAGCATTTCTTTTATTTACTTCGCATTACCTCATGATACGTCTGTGGAGAATCAACTACCATTCTCTTCACCTGAAGACAACCAACTGAGCATGAATACATTACATGAATAAACAATTCAGAAGTTCAGTTATAATCAAAATAACTTTAATTTCACCTTATCATTAAAAAGGTCTTGGACAACAGAGTGTGTCTGCCCCATTGCCCTATGTAACATAACAGGTATGGCACCCTCAACACCTTCATCTGCTGCAAGAGCTGCGGATTTTGCTTGTTCAGTAATATCTTTCCATGTTGAAAGCAAGCCATCCAAGTCCTTCTGCAATTCTTCGAAAGAATGGCCAGCAGCAACAGTCCTTACAGTCAGACCGAACCCTGGAGGCTGCAAAGTTTTCGCTATGACTCGCAAGCGAGTCCTCTCCAGTCCATAAATTTTCTTGGAGACATGAATGCTATTGAAACGAGTCATCAGAACCTGCATATCATTTAAAAGAATATTTTCAGAAAAGTAAACATGAATTTAAGGTCCTGATAACTGATAAGCAGCATGGATTAGCCCAATGAGGACTAACAAATTCAAAATAAGGCATACCCAGAATCTGCTTCTTAACTTTGGGTAAGCAGTAAGTGTAGGACCTTTGGTACCCAAACCCTCTTTGACAACTTGTACAATTATTTTAGTGCCTTTCTGAACTGGGCCCCAATTACTTTCATCTGTATTGGAACCCTTGCTATTTTCTGTGTGTTGGTTATACAGATGTAAACTTCTCTTGCCGTTAATTTGCTTACCAGAACCAACTGCACTACTGACCCTTTCTGAAAAGTCTTCTGACTCATCTAACTCATCATCCATGTCATGCTCTCCATAATCATAGAGCATAGTTCGAGCTGAATCGTCTCTAATGTCAATCTCCTGAATACAGTCGATTTTTACTTGTTCTGATACAAGCAAAGAGCCATTTACATTTCTTTGCTTTATGCGGCGGCGAAAAGGAGGAAATATGAAGGGCTCCCAATTATGGTTTGTATCCATAAGAGAAGGTCTGGGGCACCCAATATTTACAAATGCACCACCCATGTGGGGAACAAATTTTGTGACTACTCCTAAATATACACTATCGGATTGCACATTGTTTTTAACAGGTTCCAGCAATATTTCAACCAATTTTTCGTTCTCCATAACAGCAATCCGTTGCATGGTACAAAGAGAAGAGTTTATCAATATAACTTTGGCAACAGAGTCCTGCATAGCCACCCTGCTCTCATCATCTAGAGACACATCTACTCGAACTTCCTCAAACTCATTACAAGTTTCCTGATTTTCTGTATCATCTCCAACAGATTCCCAAATCCCTTCGCCGAAAGACAACAATTCTGCAATTTGTGGGTGCTGATTTTCAGGCTCCAGGTTTTTTGCCTCATTTTCCAGAGATCTTTCATTCCTGGAAATCTCTATATTTGTTCTATCATCATAACCATGAAGTACGAGAGATGATTGCAACAGCCAAGGCTCCTCGACAGGGTACTCGTTTTTAGAGGCACGTGGCTTGAAGATCCTGTTATGCAAGAAACTTGCTGTGTTTTCTCGGTCACGTGTAGAGTGAGTCAAAGAGTTGGAGTGCGCAACATTCACGTCAAGGTCATCGGAGATCTTGTCTCTCTCTGTTACACCACTTGGAGAATCTTCCGGTCTAACAGATCGGAGTAGGACAGAAGATTCGAATATCCAGGGTTCCTCTACAGGCTGGTCAGTCCTACCGAATGGTCCATAAGGACCTGCACCTTTCTTAATTGCACAAGTTCTCTCTTCAGAGCCAAACTTATTCTCAAAGTCCAAATCCCACATCAACTGCCTTGAAACCAAAAGGTCACTTCCAGTATCATCCAAAGTTTTGCCTTCATCTGTCAAATCACTGGAGAAATTTGAGTTTTCAGCAACATATTAACCAACAAAATGAAATTTATAGGAACATTGTCATGTGGATTGATACCTCTAGCTCGAGCTAAGGGTTGTCCAGGGAACCATGTCTCCACCATCCACGACCTAGAACTAAGAGGTAAAGGACTTCTGCTGCATGATCTAATCCACAATCTCCTCAGCAATATTTTTCTGCGTCTATTTCGGGCTACATGACGTAAAAATGAAAATTCAGATCTGGGTACCCAGGAGGTGTCACTTATGGACTGCATCTCTCCCTTGATAACACAGCTACACATAGAACTTCCCCGACCATGTATCTGCTTAAATCGAGACATTAAACACTTTAAATTCCAGCATGCATGGAGTAACGATCTTCACGTTCAAAAAAATTATCTGCTCATTCCCACAACTGGATCTCATTCATTTGTCATTTTGGATGTGAGACGAAAAGGGAAACTGCAAAACATCACCGGATATATATTGCATTGACATCTCATTAATTATAAGGGGTGATAATTTCTGACGTCGCATTAAATATAAGGGATGATACCTTTGCTCTGCATTCAATAACTTAGGATGTTTTGTAGCAGAATTGAACATGACCATCCCCAGGTGTTGACCATCATACGAACAGATTCATCTCTCCAGGCAACTTCAGTAATTGCTCGCACAAAATAAATGGTTCCTTGAAAAATCAAAACATGCAGAGTTCATCTGCCATTATGGGCTGCACAGCTAACTTCCTAAAGATAAGCATGAGGAGCAACATCAACATTGTCTAATAAACAGAAAAGTTGGACCTGGAAATATACAACTAAGTAAAACTTTGTTAACTCAGATTAAACACCGAGTGGAACAGAACCTTGTAAGAAATCACAGTAAGAAATAACCGAGGATCGGTATTTATTGCAGTTTCCTGTGATTGGAGGTATTCTAATATGAGGTTAGTTTTCTATATAGCCAATAAAGAAATTGGTTTAGGAAGAAAGAAAGGTCAAATATCCCATCCAGCATGGAACTGTCACAAACTGGGATGCCATGGAAAATGTCATCACATTTTCTAAAGCAAGCTTCAAATTTCTCCCAATGAACATTCTGATCGTCACTGAGGCAGCTGCAAATGAGCCGGCCAAGAGAGAGAAGGATGGTTGAATTAATGTTTGAGAAGTACAGTTTTCCTTACATACTTGTTGCCATGCATTATTTAATTAATTGCAAACATATTGTGTTGAGAAGTCATTGGTCTTGCATTATTTAACTGCAAATGTATTGTGTTAACATTTTGTTTCACCACTTGGAACCCTTCATCTCCAACTTCCAAAGTAGTAGTTGTGCAATTTGAAACAAATTGTTAACATAATAGTTTGCAATTAATTGAATAATGCAAGACCAACAACGCCTAACCAGATTGATAACCAGAGACATAAGGAAAACACTGGCTGCATGGTAACAAGTATTTAAGGAAAACCGTACTTCTCAAACATTAATAATTAATTCAACCATCTTTCTATCTCTTGTCCGACTCATTTATAGTTTCCTCAGTGATAATCAGAGAATGCTCATCGAAATAAATCTGAAGCTTGTGGTAGAAATGTGATTTCAAACCTTTTCCATGGCATACCAGTCAATGACGATTCCACCACCGTCTCCGCCGCCACCACCACTGTTGTCGTCACCACCACCTTTTTCCATTGTAGTTTCCTGTGATTGGAGGTATTCTAATGTGACGTTAGTTGTCTAAATAGCCAATAAAGAAAGTGGTGTTAGGAAGAACAAAAGGTCACTCTGAAGGATAACTTTTGGTTAAAACTCAACCAGGTTCTATACACCTAGGATCTCTTGCTCAAATGTGTGATGAATCATGAATGTAAAGCAACACTCAGAAAATATAATTTTGGGGCTATCATTGCTCCTTAACGAAGGGGAATCCCTAATATTACATAGAAGCATTAACTCATTCCTCCATGGTTCATATTGTTAGCAATGATCAAAAGACTTCAAATGAAATGGTAATGTTTGTCCCATGGGGTCATGAAATGAAAAAATGTAACATCTCACACCCTAATTATTGTGATATGTGGGATAGTAGCTCCCTAGTTACTCAAAATTGCCTTGATTCCAGAGTATTGCTCCCAACTAAAATCTACCCCAGGAATTATAGAAATATAATCCTCACAGTTGAGATCCTCTCGTCGGCCACTTTATGCTATAAAGACAAATTTTCAATGAAGTAAGCTAATCTTATGTCGCATTTAACTAGACAAGCAATCACAAACTTTCAGGCATGTCCAATCTAAAAAACGAGCAAGAATCATAGAGTGGCAACAACATCTAAGCAACAGAAAAACTGTAAAAGACTTCAATCACAAAAAACATATCCTTAGAGTGTGCCAAGCTCTCTTTGAGTCAACTAAAAAGCTAAACTCCCATTCCCACCCCACAAAAAGTGTCATACTTCTGGTTTCTGTTTTCTTAACGGAATATCATTCAACTTCAAAGTTGGTAAAAAAAATCTGTGACAGAAAACCTTGCATATCCTATAAATTGAACAACATTCAACTTGCAACAAAACCCTACTAAATTTGCATCTGCAAAATTCCAGGTTCAATACCATATCAAAATTTGAAATGTAGCTCTTTCATTTATTGAAGGGATAGTTAATTAACAACATATTTTCTAGGAGAGAAAAAAAAAAGCATCCATTGGAAATTCTATCAATCAAGATTAACCTTGTCCAAATGATACCTGCAGATATATAAACTCCTTGATCACCCATGTAAATAAACTGAATGAACAAAATCCTGAAACTAAGGTACACATTATTACAAACAGTTGGTGTACAAACCAAAACCACCCAATTAAAACCAATCCGGAAACACAATTTTGTAAAGCAACTGAACAAACATGCATCAACCAAAACAGTCCACAATCTACATTACAGAAAAAGTATGAAAAGAAAAAAGATTTTTGCATAAAAACAAATAGAATCAAACATGGCATAAAACGAAGAAGGCAATAATGGATAAGGAGAAGGGAAAGGGGAGAGAGTGTGAACTTACGAGGTTGGGTTTTGCAAAACGTAGCGAAAGATTGAAGTAGGGATAGGAGAAACGGCCAGCTTAGCTCTCATCTTATAATCTCTGCAAAGATAAGGAAAGACGAAACAGGGAGGGGGTCAATTTTTGTCGTCCAGATATTACCGTTTAACAAACTAACAATTCTAAGGGGTGATTGGAATCGCTTATAAAAACAATTTATTTATCGCAATCAAGTGCTTGGGTAAACACTTTGTATCAATACCAAATCGATAATAAAAGAGTTTTTAAAAAGTTAAACTATTTTAACTTATAACAAGTTAGGGGGTGTTTGGGAGCGCTTATTTAAAACAACTTTATATTTTTTTTGTAAAAGTGCTTATTAAATTATGTGGTATCAAACCGAAGTTAAATAAAACATGGTTAAAATTATAAATTAGTAATAAGCAGTTTTTCATTAGTCAGGAAATATTAACTTATCAAAAACAACTTATTACCGGTTTGGTACCGGTATAAACAGTTTTTCTTTTCTTATCTAAACACCAGAAAACAGCTTATCACCGGTCTCAGACTAAAATAAGTTAAAAAAGCAACTTTTATAAGCAATCCCAAACGTCCCTTTTAATAAGAACTTTTGTAAAAAAAAATAAATTGTTTACATTCACCACATTGTTGTTGCATTCCAATAAAAAATGTGAATAAAAAATAAAAATTCCAAAAAAAATACATTTTCTTCAAGAGATTTCTTATTTAGAAATTATAATATTAATTATCTTATTTAAATATATTAATAAATTATTATTATTATTATTATTATTATTAATTAACCTGGATATCCAACCCGTTATGCGAGGCAACTAATCACAAGGAGATCATCCGCTTTACAGGTAGCCCGGAATCAAAAAATGGTTATTTGGTTCAAACACAGTGACTCCAAGCTACCTGCAGGTAGTTCATTTGTGTAGTCAATTTTTTTCTTTTATTATTTTGGTTAAACCGAATACCACATGATACTATTATTTTATTTTTATATGAGTTTATCGATTGTCAGAGACACTTGAAAATGGTGATAGTTGGGTCAGAAAGACGAAAAGACGAGGACTGAGGTAAATAAAGAGAAAATCTAAGGGTATTCCCCCACCCAAAGAAACAGGAGCGTTCATCTAAACCGTTTAGACCGCACCAAAAGAATATTCGTTTGAAAAATATTTTTGTGCTTAAAACATATTTCATATAAGATTCATGGTAACCCCGGGATAAGTCGATAGGTCAGCTACTCCCCGAGATTAGTCGATAGATCAGCTACGCCCCGGGATTAGTCGATAGGTCAGCCACGCCCCAAGATTAGTCGATGGACGTAAGCGGACCCGAAAACCATAATTACCAACAAAAAAAATGCATACCATGTGCAGAAAACACTCTAAAAGATGCTCTATATTTTGATCTATTTTGCCAACCCATGGGCAAATACTTTTCATATATATAGATAGATAGATACTACAAATAAACGAATGATCATGCCAAATGAAACAATCAAAATGAAGACAAACAACCATCTTTACCCACCACCAGTAATCAAATTCAACATTCCGCCAACATAATATAGTATATCTGTCATCGAAGGGACCAAAACGCTCGCCAACGACCATCACTTATGTTGGTGCTTGAGAGCTTCAAAACGAGCAGCAAGTGTATCATAATCTGGCAGTTTTGGATGAACTCGCTGCTGACCTTGTTTCATAGGAGGAGCACGTGGTGCTGGCCGGTTCGGTGGACCATGGTCATGGTCATGATCCATTTCAATTTCTTCATCACATTCGGACTCTGATTCATCAAATTTGACAGATGACCCTGGAGGAGGAGCATTGTAGGTGTGTCTTCTATACATCTTGCTATCGTCTATTTCAGGTTGTTCATCACAATCTGATTCGTCAAATTTGACACCAGATGCATTGTAACTATGTCGCCTATTATACTTTGTACTGTCTGATGAAACATGAGACCTCTCAGAACTCGGTTTGGTGAAATTGATGGCAGGACTGCTGGAAACCAAATCGAAATTTTTGACGTATCTTGAATCATTTGTGAATCCGTGTTGTTGAGTTGATTGATTCGAGTCTTTGCTTGCCAAGTATGCAGCAGCTTCTGCAGCAGCAATTGCCATCTTAGCCGACTCTGCAGCAGCTTCAGCAGCTGATTTAGTGTCGTCAAAATGCATGACGTTCTGACCATTACCCGAGTATCTGAAATAACAAATGAGGAAATTGACAATTTAGGGATCGTTTAGCAACACAAGTTGGGTAAACACTGCGGTCAGGGTAAGAGGTTCGGTATGGGTAAGCGCCAACTGAAAAATGGTTGTTTAGCAAGTGATTTGTTAGTGGCGGACCAGAAATTTCTTTGAGCAGGTGCACCTTTAAGGTGGATCAAAGGTCCGCAAAATAGTGGTTTGACCTAGAAAAAAGTCAATTGTGTTGATTTGAGAATACATTTTTTTTAAAATGGAATCAATCTTGATCCTTAAAATAAGTTTATGTTGCCTTGAAAATGATATAGAAAATGACAATTTTTAAGATGCTTGAAAATGATATAGGAAATGACAATTATTAAGATGAATTCACATCGGGAAGGAAAATAAATCATGAAAAAAATAATAAAATCAAAATGGCACACTGGTAGTAATGATCATAACTGTAATTGAGGTTTTGTGAGTTTAATTCTTCTAACTATATTTTTGTTGTTAATATTTTCAGAAATAGTGTTATAGGGCCTGAGTAAATGCTCTGGGCCAGTAAATTTTCACCTAAAAATTCGAACCCCTGACCTCTTGTATTAAAAATGGTAAGCCAACCATCCCACTCGTGTTTAATTGCTATTATAGATTTGGTTTCAAAGTATTTAAAAGGGCACCCTCAAAATCAAGCAGGTGCACTTTTCAGACGGCTAAATTTTTCTCTCTTGCCACAATCGACTGAGCGGATGCACGGGAGCCCGCTCAGCTCCTAATAAGTCCCCCCCTGCATTTTGTAGCAAGTGCTTACCGATAAAATACCCTTAATATCTTGTGTTGACCCAGTAAGTGAAATAATAATGCTAACAGACTAGTCTTTAGGTAAACTAGTTGACAGATCAGGTGATAATTTTTATATATCATAAGGGATGGAGATGTCACATTTTACCTGCAAGGCGGTGGGTTGTTTGGTTGAACATATTGGGGTGGTGGGATGTTTGGCTGAACATATTGTGGTGGTGGGTTGTTTGGCTGAACATACTGCTCCGATGCAAGTTTGACAGGCATGCTGGAAGCACTCACAAAGGTTTGCGGTCCTTCCTGCAAAAAAGAAACAAATATATCAATGAAAAAAGCACGAATTTGAGTGGCACAGACACATAAACCAGACCAATCCGGTATATCCCACGTGGAGGTGCGGACTGGGAGGGTAAGATACAGACCTGACCTCTACTCCAATTTAGAGTGGCACAAACACATATTTGTATATATTACATACAGTACATTGTATACATATATGTAGAAAAGAGAGAGACGCACGATAAGCTTTTCAGGTGGCTTGAGAAGTTCTGTTTCAGATTCTGTTGTGTCCCATTCAATCTGGTATTCTTTGGCTATTTCCTTCAGGACTTTCAACTTTACTTCACCAGCAGGGGTTCTAACAGAGAGCTTGTCAATAAGCTGCAAAATTTCATTAAAGCATCAACATTTAACCTCTTCAAGTAATAAGGTTAACAAGTAATAAGGTTAACAAGTTTATCATATTAATCATAATTGCAGGATTATCAACATAATCACCATTCGATTTACACCACAGTCGGGTCGTAGATCAGTAGCTGCTCCAACGAAATCTTTGCCATATTTTTTCTCGAAAATATCCCGAAGTGCAACCAATTCTGGAATTTCAGAACATCGAGGAGCTGCAAAAATTAAACTTGATATCCCTTCTTTCAGATCTGCAGGGCATTCTCTGTAACAAATGAACCTAAAATAGTGAGTGGCTTGTTGATGTTGTATACAGTTTTAATTTCTTCCTCGGAATACCTTTGTTTTGCAATGATTGAAAGTCTTTGCACGATCAGTTCACAGAAGAGCTCAATGAACTCATTAGCAGCCAAGATGTTCTGTTCTCTCATCACGTGTTCAACCTTGGAGTGCAAAAAATTTCATGTCAGCTAAAAATAGGGTTTACACAAACACAGAGGGAAGATCCAGGGAGAACCCCAATAAAAGGAGGACTGAAGAACTCATCATAAACATTAGATTAATTGATCCAACGGATGTGATCAAATAGGTGGTTGCAACCACCTTTTTTTAAAATTCTAAGGTGTTTTTCTCGAGAAAAGTGACCATGATTAGGAGCTCTGAATTAGAGATGTATGGATTAAAGGTATTCCTCTAAAAATTACAATTTTTCTTGGTTATATTTTCTGTCAAGATCTCCTAACAAAGGATTTTCTTGTATTAGAGGGATAACTCTGCAACAGATCACATGTTAATATTATCAATGCGGAGTTCGCCTTTTATCCTTAGACAATCTATACACCTACCTAGAGCTGATAATATCCAATTTTCTTAGACGGGCACTGATTTTCAAGCATTTTTACATTTACTGAATACATTTTACTTATCTTCTAATAGCATTTATAGCCACGCTTATTTTCTAGTTGACAAAATACCTATCAAGGCAAGTGAGGGATTGAGGCAGGAACTAAAGTACTCGACGCTACCACGGTTGATTAAGCCAGGTTTATATGGTTTCAGTCGGGTGATGGTTTTTGAGCTAGACCCATTCTGAAGAGGTTGCAGGAACAGGAACCACTAGATCACGATCACGATCACGATCGCTTGTCCTATATTTGATTGTAGAAGAGACAAATGGAACACTTGTGCAAAAAGAAAAAAGAAGAGTAAATTACAAAAAAAGAAATAGTGGAAGTACACATGTGACAGGCTTTCTCTTTCTGAGAACGGAAGACAAAATTCAGCAAGCAAAGTCAGTTTTTGCAACTTTTATCTATACTTAAGACCATTAACAAACATATACACTACAAGTAAATCATGCAATAGATTATGAAGGGTATTAGGATAATTTCACATTCTTATTGCACAAACCATCTGTCATCACCTTCATTTTCTTTGAAGCAAAACTCCAAAATGAACACTTTGTACTCGTCTCCCCCCTCTTTGGGGAAGAGCAACTCTCAGAAGCAACCAATCCAAGAATTGATGGATTTGGTAGAGTGCTAGTCACAACACTAGAACCAAGTTAGTTGAGCTTGAAGGCATCAGTTGAATCCCTTAGTTGCAAGGTCTTTGACTGTGCCCAAGAAAGGGATGGATAATAGATCTTATATAGTTCTCACTTCCACTTAACAAAGGAAAGATATCACACGCTACAGAAGACAATCATGTGCAAGTTGCTTGAGTTGAACCAGAAAAAACACCTATTCCTCTTAACAAATCCCTAGTTTGAATCCTCGAAAAATCCTTTTGTTCTTTTTCTATATTCAGTATAAAAAGGGTGGTGGATCTAAATAACTAATGACATGAATGGGAACCTTGTTGAAGATTTGAGAAGCTAAATCTTATGAATTATATGTGATAGATGTATCTTTTCAATAAAAGCTTCCTTGGGAATGGATTGCTGCATTATGAATGTGGTTATTGCGAAAAACCAAAGGATGGATTCAATATGTGCTTTTTCCATCTAATATCTAGGTTTCAATTACACCCTAGGTAATATTCAATTTGTTTTCCATTTTACTTCATGGAAATGGAAATCACTCACCAAAATCTTGATTTCCTTTGAAGATGAGGATGAAGAAATAGATGATTAACAACTGGGTTGTGGCACACTGGTTAAAGCCTCAGGGGGGATTTAGTGGAAAATCTCATCTACCCCAGGATCGAATCCAGGCACTACCAAAGCCCTTGTGGCCATGGAGGTTCACCTGTGATGACTCCAGGCCACACGTGGTCGACACCCTGGGGGACTAGTCGGTGCACGTAAGTTGGCCTGGAAACTCATGGTTGCTAAAAAAAGAAAAGAAATAGATGATTACTGACAGACAAGTGGTTTTTTAATTGTGGATAAATTGACAGAATTACCTTCATGAAATGACATGTGAGAGGCACATGTGAAATTAAACGGTTTTAGGGACAAAAAGCATACAAAAAAAGATGTTAGTAGATGGATTTTATTGTGTTGTGAGGATGAAACTTGTAAGTTGGGTATGTTTCCTAGAATGTTTTTTGTACTTTACTCAAGGTAAAAAAAAAAATAGAAGACTTCCTATATTACCTAAAGTTGCCCTCCAAAATGTCAATAAAAATGGAAAAATGGTACAACTTGGTGAAGTAAAAATGGCAACATATGTATGATAAAAAAAAATGAGGCATTCTCTGAGAGGAATAGTTTATGAAGACTAGGACAACGTGGGACTGATATGAAATGGATGGTAAGAACCAAAAATAAATAGAGAACAAACTAAAATGTACAAGACAAGATCAACTATTCATACACAAGAGATAGAAAGTGGAATGTCCTCACAAGAGATGGATTTATGGATATGGTTTTCATTAAAATGTCGCCATACATGTGAGTTTACAGCTAGAAGTTCAAAGACAACTGACAAAAAAATGTTTGTCAAGCCACCTTTAGGACTGCCATGAATTTATTTGAGCTTGCTTAAAATGATTTTTTGCACCAACTTTATGTTGATGGTTTTTATGATGTTAGGAACGCATAAAGTTGTCAAAGGTTCACGGCACACTTGGGTGCAAAGAGGTCCCGGGGCCTAGGCGTGAGGCACAAGCATGACACGTAGGTCTCATAAATGCGAGGCATGTCTTATAAAATATTTATATATATACACACAACTCAAATATGAGTAATTCAATAGAGTCAGAAGGGAGAAGGGTTTGAAGCGTGAGCCATGAGGGAGAAGTTCTAGTCTGGCAAGAGTCGCCACCTTCACTATCTTATCGGGTAACAATCTCGGTCATCAATATGGATTGTTGGTAAGCGTCTTTTAGAGGATTCTCCCTCACTTACTCGGTAAGGTTCTCGGTCTTTGCTATACCGCTTACCGGGTAAGATTCACCGTCCTTGTAAACTTCATCTGATGAGATAAATCACAAACAGTATGCGTTTGGTAAACGGCCCCTATGAGGCTAAGACTATCTCAAGGAACTTGCATTCCTAGAAGCATTTATATAACATAGAACAGAAACAGTATATTTGAAAACTCGTAGATCTACCAAGGACATCTGTTGGTCAACTTCTATGACCAGTAGTTTGATGTATTGAACACACAAAAAAAAGGAATAGCCTAAAAGCACACTCCTACATCCCAGAATGTCAGTCCACTTGTAATTGAAATTTCAAACTTACTGATTTCCAAATCCAGAATTGATGTAGATACTTTTAGTTCTTTAGCTCAAGAATCCGTCTATTTATTATTTATGTAGTTTTGATGTAGTTATCAAAAAGGATTCTACAACCAAGAAAATCTTCATCCATTTCTAATCATAACAAGGATTATCAGTTGACAATCAAACCTCAAATTTGGACTTCTTGTGAAATGCAGAGAAAGCAGAGTTCAATATCAAATCTGTTCAAAATATCCTAAAACAGGCAAAACCCTAAATTATTGCATCAAATTTCGCATCACGTTGTTCAAAGATCATCTTCCTAACTTCAAATCTTCCCCAATTATCGCACTATTCGTACTCAAACAATCCTGCCTACTCAGGTGTCAAATATAATCCACCCTCTCTAAGAAAGAACTAGCAATAAGGCGAGAACCTCGATCAAACAATAACGGAGTAATAGGTTTCGACTATCAACCAAACAAATCCACGTCGTTTCTTTCTATTTTTGCAACAAGAAAATCGCAATAAGGTTTCCCAGCGATGAAGTAAACTGTAAAAAAAGAAAACATACCCTGATACGAGCAGTGGCATCTTGACCAGACTGAAGAAGCAAAGCAATGTCACGCCTCATCTGCCTCACCACCACCTGTCTCTTGTTCCTGAGAAGCTTGATCCGAGCCACCGCCAACTTGGCCGCCGTCTTGCTGTAATTTCTCAAAACCACTTCTAAGTTAGGGCTCAAAACCCATAAAATTGAATACGAAAGGAAGAGAAAACGAAGATCTCACCATCTGGAGGTGTTGAAGCCTCTGAAGAAGAGAGCAACAGTGAGCTTGGCTGCCTTCTTCCAATGGCTTTTAGCGCTGGCGGTCATCTTGCAATGGTGGTGCGTTTAGAGAGAGAGAGAGAGAGAATGATTTTTATGGGATTTTGTGTGCAACGGTCGGGAAGAATGAATGGTGAAAACGGAAAGAAGCGGAACGTGGCGTGGTGTGAGGGCCCCACTTCGACAGGAACTGGAAACGGATCTTTTTCCGTTACAAAGTTCACAGTTTGGATTGCTTCACATCGAAGCTTTTATGAGCTTTTTTATTACATAGCATCTCATATGTGTTTAATGTGGATTATTTTCTTGTAATATGTAACCAGGGATGGTCCTAAAATTTTTGATGTTCTATACGAAAATAATAAAAATTACCCTTAAGTCTATATTTTTAAGCCAATGAAACAACGAAACATACGATTTTTTAAAAAGTTTAGAACCTATTCAAGCTAAGTATCATATCCTCATGTTGATTTTTATTAATTATAATTAATAAAAAAAATACAATAGAGGGACATAAAAACCAAAACTCCGAATACAAAATAAAAAATGATAAAAGGATAAATTCTAGATTAAGATCGCATTCCTTCTTTTCCAGTTTTCCCTTTTCCAAATTAAAATTAGCAAAATAGAAACTTTATTTCAATATATGAGACTTAAAAGACAAGAAAAATTATAATCAGTTTTTAACTAAAATAGTAAATTACATCTAAATTACTGTCATAGTAAGCAACAAGTAAAACTTAAAAGTTACAGGTCTAACGACTAAAGACTTAGGGTCTATCTGTTAACATCTTAATAAGTTTAATGAAACTAACAGCTTATTCACTCAACTATGCATGACTGTTTCGTAGTGGCTTAATGATATAGAAATTGACTTATACAGTAAGCTTATAGGGGGGACTTTGTATAAAAAGTCAAGTTTTTTTTTCAAACATGTCCCATCCAACTACAAACGCTCCTTACATTTGGGAAAAAAAAACTCTCCCAACAAAAACTTTTCCAACTTATACAAACAGGTTAATTCATACAGACAACTTTATACAAACAAAATTTTTTCCAACTTTTTCCAACGATGTGCATTCAGTATTCATCACTACTAGACATTGAGCCTGTTTTTATAGTCAAAGCTCAATTGTCCAATTCCCAAGTTATTAAACCCAAATTAGTAATAAATGACAACCTAGTTCCCCTTTAGGCTTTGATGCCATATGCGGCCGCACGGGCTGCACGTGGCCAGGGTCGGTCCTGTATGTAACCTTAAATTTAATTTAATTTATAACTTTATCTACCATACTATTTATTCTTTAAAAAGATGGATATCTATATTTATAATAAAGGGAAAAGTCTAAAAAAACTCAGTGGACTTTAATGTTTGGAATGATTAAGTCATTGGACAATTTTTTGGAACAAATAAGTTATTAGACATTCCAAAACATATTAAATAACTCATTGGACAATTTTTTGGAACAAATAAGTCCTTGGATAATTTAAAACATGTTAAATAACTCATTGGATAATTTTTTAGAACAAATAAGTCATTGGACAATCCAAAACATGTTAAATAACTTATTGGACTTTTCTAAAACTTGTTGGATACATTCTTATGACTTGCACAACTAGTTAATTTGATAAAATAGTGAAAAAAATCTGAAAAAAAAAATTAATGAACATTCACATTTTGAACGATTAAGTCCCTAAACGTTTTTTGAACCAAAAAGTATTTAAATCTATAAAATTAAACAAATATAACAAAAAAAAATAATTACATTTAAAAATATTTTTGATAAAATTTATTTTAATTAAAATAAAAATATATTTAGTCAGTGATTTTTCAAACTAAAAAAAATAAAAAAATTTATAAAGAATTATTG